CAACAAAATAAACATTCCTCAATTCATGCAAGGGTTAGGATTACAGTCATCAGTGTCTGGATACAAAGATAGACAAACAATTTGATCTCAAACTCTTAACAAAACTGCCAAAATTTAACAAAAAATGCTCAAATTTTTTCTCTCAATTATGAAGGATTTCTCCCTTTTTTCCCTCGCCCAGATTAAAGATGGGAGTACCAGTTCCAAAGCAAATAATTAAACAAAATTATTAACATTGTTAAAACCCAATGGGTACACAATGCTGTTTTGGTATCGTTTCAAAACTAAATTGATGTCAAGTTGTTGATTCAGCATTTTTTCAACCTTTGAAACTCCGTCACGTTTGCCTAAAGGAACATTCCCTGCTCCATTTTACACCACTGAAGTGAATACCAACAAGATTTGATGCTCTGTAGCTGTGGGGAAGTCACTAAAAAGCACCGTGTATTCTTTCTTATATCCATTAATTAAATCTAAAGTACAATGCAACATATACCTTCCATGTTATTTAGCTGAAATTCAAGGGAAACAGGAAAGTAATTGACATATTTTGCTGTTCTTTGTTGTTCAAAGTTTGTCAGGAATGTTTTGTGGCACCTTTACACAAACTAATATAAGCAGGGGAGTTCCTATGGATCTTTCAAATCGGTACTGAAACAGGAGTTTCTCACCCTCTTCAGAGGGCGGCTGTGTTGTTGTGAAGTCTGTAGATGACACAGTGTCTCCTTCAGTAGTAGTGTACACAGGCTCTGATGTCGTGATGGAAAGAAAATTTCAGTTTCATGTCAGTCACAGTTTTATGTCAACAAAGTTTTGGCAGAACATTCTCCGACCTTTTAAAACTACTAAAACCAAATAGAGTCAAGACACCTAACTGGCTCTCATTTAGCTGTTACTCACCCTCATCAGGGGGAAATTGTGTTGATGTATAGTCGGTAGAGGACACAGTATATGCTTGAGTGGTTGTGTACAGTACCTCTGATTGGAAGAAAAAAATGTGGTCGGCTTCAAGTTAGTTTCTTATTGATCAAAGTTTTGACAAAGTGTTGTGCAACATTTTCAAAGAAAACTACGAGCCAAGTAGCCCCGAGATATTTGGTACCGTACTCCAATAGTGTTTCTCACCTGAATCAGTTGAAGCCTGTGTTGACGTGAAGTCAGTAGAGGACTGAAGGAGAGAGCGGCGGCGGAATGCTTTTATAGGTGGGATGACAAAGACATATGAAGGTATATGAGCAAAGCAGGCTGTAAGTTGCCTTTGGGAGTGCGGCCAAACCCATGACACACTCCACTAACTCCAATAATGCACAGTCTGTTCCATCCCCACCCACTTCTCTACAGGCACACCACACGTGCCTATGTTAATAACATCCAATTGTAAGACAAAATTCACGTACCATATAACATTTGGGCCAACCAAACATCCCTGTTATAACCAAACTCTGTTACTCATATTAAAAGGACCCCACAAAATTGAAAGAAAAAAGGAATTTGACACTTCAGGATTTGTTCTTCATAATAGCATTGCTCTTTCGGACATTAAAGACATTTTGATTAATGTCTACTGTATGGACCCCTTTACACAGCTGGCTGGCATTCTTAAATTCTTAATTCTTCATATATGGATGCAACAAGGCAGTTAATGAAAAAAGCTCTACTCAAACCTTTCTAATGTGCACCTTTCATATTGGGGGTGTTTTAATAATATCAGCTTGTACCGAAAATAAGGAATTTGCGCAGTTTTGAAAAGTGGGCCAAATTTTATTTTGACACGCACGCTTTTCATTCCATTCGAGTAAGGTAACAAATACTAAATACTATATATAAATACCAGGTTCAGTTGGAGGTCTGTACGTGATGACTTCAGATATAATATCCACCCAGTAGACTGAGAATTCAAGAACGACGGTTGCCCTGAGGAAGTAGAAAACAGTACTTAGTCCCATGTCGTTTTTTTTTTTACAGCATAGTGCTTGGTTGGAATGAGTCGGTTAGTGTTCTGAGATAAGCCTATAAGTGAGACGGCTTTGATCAACATTCTGGTTGGATTTAATTAAGATGATCATGGTGGGGTTTTGATGAAATAGATATGGCATGGGCACGGGTTTGGCTATGGGTATCGGGTTGGGTTCAGTGGCGTATCCAGGGGGAGGGGGGTTGGGGGACTTCTCCCTCCCCTCGACTGACTTTTGAGTAAGACTATTAATATTTGTTCTCCTCCAACATCATGTTGAATATGCCCGAAGCCGCATTGCTTTTGAATATGCCTCCCAGGCTGACACAAGCTGGACACGCCGCTAGTTGGGTCAGGTCGGGTAGGGTCAATGGTGTACATTGATTGAATCGGTTTGGGTGGGTCGGGTTGAGTACAAGATTACTGTGTTAAAGCAGTAGTGCGTGAATCGAGAGGAGGCACACCTGGTGTGTCACCGGCCCCCCGCTGTCGTTTATTTTTTACATATTTTAGGGAGATAAATCTTTCATTTTTAGTAGTTCTTCTTTTGCTGTCCACTGGCTGATTGTATTTCATTAAAAACATGTCTCACTCACAAATGTTTGAGTTCACTTCCCCTTTCATAAATGATCGGCACCCGTCACCCCTCCTTGAAAATGCTTAATCGCTGCTGCCGTGTTTAAGATGGGTCATTGAGAGACGAAGCTTCGATGAACACAAAGTTTTGTATCTCTTTAGTATTGTAAATATATATCTACTCAGAATGTCTATACCAATGTTTACTGATATTTGATGGGTCACATTACTTTACATCTTACAAACAGTGGCTGCACATACCTGGCCACAAGAGGGCCTTTGTCACCAGCAGGAGGCATCCAAAGTGCAGTGACCATTTGTTTTGAGGAGCTATTACTATGCCCCCAGGCATCCTGAGGGAAAAAAAACCAAAGCTAATCTTTGAATTTATTTTCAACATTGACCAATAGACCTATGTTAGCATCCCCCATTGGTCTGCCAATGATGGCAGACTGCTGTTTAGGAGAGCATGCGATTTGAATGCAGGTGATAGAATAAACAAGCATGATGGGAAGACAATATGGGGTGTGCTGCAGCATTCTGTTGTGTTGGAGGAAGAACCCTTCAACATATAGGTTGAGAACTTTGCAAAGAGGCGCTTCACCGACTTTGAAAGATTAGACCATGAGCCATCCCACTTGCCGAATGGAGACACACTCCGGCAACTATAGGCATTATTTCAAGGGACAATTTCGAAAAGCTTACCAGTGCTACGTTTGTGCAGTTCAGTGCCTGGGTTCCTTCGTCAACGTCAAGGAATTCTCCGTGCGGGCCTCCATTTGTTTTCAGGTTTGCAACAGTGAGGAGAAACCCCTTGAAGGAATCCGCTTCTATCTCATTGGGTACGATTACTTCAAGGGCAACTGTTAGCGAAAAACACACAAAAATAGAAACTAATTTCCCATGCTTACTGTAGTTGGGTAAAATTAGTGTTTTACACATTGATGTTTTCTGTCAGGAAGTGTGTTTCTGTATAGACCTGTATAGACATAACCCTTCGAATATCATCGAGTGTATCCAAAAGTAATGCGTCAGATATTATGTGCAGAGATTGGGGATTAGGCTACGATTCGTTGCTCACTCAACTTGGCTGGACAAGTCTTCAAACGAGGAAAAATTCTTTCGCCCTTGTGCTTTCTAGTAAAATTATGAATAATGATACTAATGTCAGTGCTATTGATAAGTTTACTCCAGCTGCATGAATCGGCCAAAATGATCATAGCTTGAATTTAACTATTGCCTAAAACTGATTGTCTCAAATGTTCCCGGGAAGGGAATGACCTGCCTACGGTCATTGAGAGTCCCTCTTCGAGTACCTTTAAATCGTCAATCCATTCTTTTCTCAACATGTAACCTTTTGATTCCTTTGTTTTAATTTCATCTTACTTGTATTTTGTGTTTTCTTACTGTTTGATTTTTGTATTTACATTCAGCAGGTTTTACCACCTTTTATTTGTTAATGACCTTTTCAGTTAATTGACTCCTATTGCCATTAATCTCTACTGTCTTTAATGTCTTTATCTATTTCATTGATCTATGTTTTAGTCCATTTTTGTTTTAAATGTACCTGTGCTAACCTTTTGCCCGGGGTGCAACAACATTAATCTTTTCTTCTTGCTTTGCATAGTTTTATTTGTTTTAGCTTTTAGTATACGTACAGCGTTTCTATAATATTATTTTCAATGTTTTATCATCTTATCCGCGGAGTGATTTTTAGAAAGACCTTGAGGTCTTGTTCACGGCCCTTGGCATGGTCAGAAATTATTAATAAATAAAAGTACATTTGTGTCCTGATAATCTACTACAAAGTGCAATTAATTCTATATGCGTCTGTACATTGTTGGCTAGAAGTATGTACATAGAGTTAGATACCCAACTCTATGACATGTACTTATATTGACAACAACCCCGTATCAGTTACAACACCATTGTCCTCTTGAACCTCAGTATGGCTGAAAACGTCACCGTCACCATTGCAAAGTGCAAGTATTGTATTTGTATCCTGGTTGATAACAATGAGGGTCATGAGGCTTACTTACACAAAAAGGTGTGTCTGTCTTATTCTCTTGGGGTTCACCAGTAACGCTGCACTCAGTGTTTTCGACGGTGAAGAAATTCCTTGCCAATGTATACACACCATGACAAAGGCTCATGGCTCATACGGCATGAAACTCCTTGATGAAGCTTCAAATTGTCAGATTTCTGCTGCTCAGTGCTTTGCCCACCCCCATGGCGAAAGGGGGTGGCGAACCTCACGCCCATATATTTTGTGGTTGCAAGCCCCCATGTTTAATGCCAGGGCCTAGAATGGACAAGCGGCTTGATACGGAAAGCACTCGCGTGTTAATTCAGTTTGATAGTGTGATGATGGAACCCTATTGCAAACATTTCCCCTTTTAGCCGAGAGTTGTAGCACAAAAAGTACACATACTTCCCGGTAATCAAACCCAAATCCTGGTAACATCATTCCAACGTTGTAAAACACTACCTACAATTTAAGGAATGTAGGGCGGGATATTGAAAAGGCGACTCTACTGCCTTAATTTATTCCTGTTTTGCAAAAATTATCTCTTTATAGGCCTGTGTTGCAAGGTGGACAGCATTAAAGTTATCGTGGCTTCATCAGTGGCGATAAGATTTACAAAATGGCCCACTTGCAATGACCTTGAAAGTAGTTCGAAAAAGGAAAAAGCAAACCGTCCAAAATACCATGAGTGGCCATCATTTAACCCTCAGAAGTGAAACGTATACACTGTTTTAAATAGTATCTTTTTTCAAACTTGTGTTAATTGCTCTGAAATTTTGCCGTGCGGCCAATATGTTTTCAAACTCCAAAAGTTCCCACTTCAGACGAAGCCGCCAAACCGTGCGAGTGCATCTTTAAAGCTTGACCCGCATTTTCCCGGACTATCTAGCAACCACATACATGTATGTTCAATTAGTGCTTGTCCGAGAGCTTGCAAAAAAATTCACAAGCTTACTCTGGTGGGACTCGAACCCACGACCTCCTGCTTACTAGTGCAGACGTCTTAACCACTCGACCCCCGAGCTTGCCGGGGTCGGGTGGCCGGTCCGAGTCAGGTGAAGATGCGGGTACCGCGAACTATTTTCAAGATGTATTTTTTTTTGCGTTGGGGAGGTGTTATTTTATATAACGGTTTTGCCCTAACCCAACGTATACATTAATAAACACTGTATGCTATGTGACACATAATTATACAATCCGTCATAAGGGATTATAGAATCTGTGATAACGATTTAAAGAATCCGTAATAATTACTTGCACAAGTTTAATTAATAAGGGACTTAATATGTGCTTGGCCGGTCTTAAACCTGCGTTTAAGACCGGCTGAGGAGAATGGACGCGACTATGCGGCTCGGGCATTAGTGGCGTCTATTCTCCCGACTAATACATGTAGTTTTATTACCGCGTATACAGCTAGTTTGCGGTAGCGCCATGCGAACTATTTCTGGTGAACTTCTGAAACTGTAAAGGAACTAAAGGGTACTCAATGTTCCGACTGTCAATGTCATGATATGTCCGTCGTCAGATTGTCCTATTCGAAACGTTCAGTACCCTTCGGTTCTTTTTAGAACCTCACACAGGCGTACTCACACAAGAGATGTTTTACATGGTTGCTACCGCAAACCCGGCTAGGTACCTTCATCATGAAAAAAAATCAAATCGCATCTACCAATAACTTGCAAAGGAGGGGTTCACTGAGGGGTTTATGCAGGTAGATGTAGCTTCCGATGAACTACCACGGGCGGCCAAAAGGGCTCTCAGCGTTCAAGAATACTTCATCCTTCTCAGTTTGTTCGTTAATTGTGTTTGTGGAAGTTTAGGTGCTCTCAAATTGTGTTACAAATACTGAGTAATGTATATGTTTTGTAATTGTTGAATTTTCTTTTACTGATTTTTTAAGAAACATCTGTAAATTGTGTTTTTGAGGGATATTTTCACATTTATTCTATCAATTTAGTTCTTTAACACTTTCTCAAAATATTTTAGAAAATGCTTTTTCATACGTTTCTCGGTATTTAGTCTTAATTTCTGTGAACTATGTTTTGTTATCGGCTCTAGTGTTTGTTTTATATTTGGATTAATTTTGGCCTTTTTGGCCGCCCATACTACCATAGTTGAATACAGTAGTGATACATGCTTACCCTCCAAAAACTGTCCTGACGTGTAAACCGACTGGTTGAAGGACACCCGATAGGGAGATGGACCTTGACTGGGTGAGCCTGGGTGACCGTACGGGGTCATGGCTGAACAGATCTCCGGATAAGAATCAATTGGTGGGCCCATTGGGTATCCGCAAACTTGCAACAAGTGACATGTCACTATGGAAACGGCAGTGAGGATGAACGAACGGGTGTTGGGCTGCCGTACCTATTAATTTGGAGGGAAATAAAGACAGTAATGATAAAGAAACCCTGGTATTTTTCTCTGTCATTTGTTTGCGATGTTGTTTCCACTACGACAAGAGCAGATCCAGGAGCAGGGGTCTTACCCCCAAACTGAGCCCTTTTTTTAAGAATAAAAATAGGCAACCCAACCCCCAAAAAGTTTGGATCCCGGAAAATTTGGTTCTGGATCCGTCTTTGCATGAAGGCCGCATATCTCACTGGGCTGCGACAGCTAACGACTAGATGGAGACAGAAAATTGCGAGAAAATCCGCGAATTTAGCGAAAAATTTCACTTGGATTCACACTGATTTGGTATTTACGACACATTTGCGTGTGTCGCACGAGTTCCGGGCAAAATTTCAGTCAGCATTCGCCTGGAGTTTACGTACTTGTCGTGGGACTGCAGCACGACATTCGCGCAACATTTGTGAATATTTTACACTCTCGCCTGTCTCACGCCCGGAATGTCAGATTCTCATTTTTTTCTTCAACCAGTCACAGTTTTGTTTCATAGATCGCCACACCCTCACAAAGTTGTGTTTAGTGTTATGCGTTTAGGAATGTGTTGAAACGCTAAGCAGATTTCAAGATACCACGCAGATGTGTGAAACGTGGAACGTTTTGGACATTATAAGTTCGTTTGACATTCCTTTGAACGGGACAGTACATTGCAAATAAACTTTCACTTCACGGACCATTTCAACAGTGGTTCCAGAGCAAAAACACATACGCTCTCAACTCCGTGTGTCGGACTGTTCTCGACTTTTCTCGAGAACATTCGCGAGCACGTAACAAGCGTTGTTCGTAAGTTTCAATCCACTCGACGTGTTGTTTTTAAAGAGAAAAAAATACAGGCCGAAATTTCGATCAGATTTATCCCCTTCTGTCTCGGCTTCTGAGTTGAAACGAATCAGTTTTATTTTTAGAGTAAAACCTCCGAACACGCGTTACTGGGGTCGTCCGATTTGAAATCCACAAGTATTGGTCGCCGTTTACGTTTGTAAACATGAAAAAAATTTGGTACAATTTTCTCGACAGTGACCTGATATTATTGTGTTATTTATTTTTGGAGGTTGGTAGGGGCACATTCCAAGACAATTTGGGACGTTTTTGACTTATCTAATTAGCTAAAATTATTTTAAAAGATAAAAAAGTGGAAGTAATTTTTCCACCACTGGAGAAATAAATATCTACTAGGGAAATATTTTACCACCCGAATAGCTGGGATATTTCTGAAATTTTTACACCTCAGGATGCCTTATTTTAATGTTTTGTTATGCATGTTGTATGTTTATGAAAGTATTAATATTTATACAAACTGTTTAATCGCGACATGTTTAGTGTTATGCGTTTAGGAATGTGTTGAAACGCTAAGCAGATTTCAAAAAGCTAAACATGTACCACGGAAAATCGTTCAGCGCTTAAACACATTCCAGTAAACATGTCATGGGTTAAACGTGTGGACAAGCGGTACAAAAAGTGATTAAGCTCTAAACACTGTTTTTACAGTGTAACTTTATATAGTTTTTGATAAAACGGTATGTAATTTCCCCACCACGAAACCGACGGAAAATGAAACCTCGTTTTAATGAAGCAACTTTGTGGTACACCTTTATCAGAATGTACAAGATAAAATGTCTTGAGTACTTACTTTATGAAAGGTTACTTCTCTGACTTGAAATGAACGTTAATTTTTTTAACATTAAAAACAAACGAAACGGCGGAGAGGTACAGATGTACAGACAGTCTAATAACATCTGATTTCAAGCACTCCTTCCCGCGATAAGGACACGTGATTTTGACTGCAGCTTCGTGTACGTGGCATCATCGAAGACACTGTCTTGCACTCTTAAGGTTAGAGGTGTTATGCAACCCAGTGATTGATGTTAATGTAGGCCTATTTTCTCCTTTGACACTTTGCCGGCCGTAACACACATTGAACCAGCTCTGAACTGAAGTTGTTTTGTTTTTCCAGCGTCATCCTATCCATCGTGGTCTTGGCAAAATGTCCCAAACCATTTGGATTCCCCAGGAAAATTAGCCTTTGACCAAGGCGCCCTCGGCGAAATGGATAGTCGCTCAAGAGCGAGGAGCTGGGGGAGACTAGTTTAAGCACAAAACCAACGCACGAAGAAAGGCTACACGACGAACCGCACGCACGCCCCGCGCACATAGATATTAACGACACACACAGCTCGGCTACTGCATGTACATGCAGTTCGCGTTGACGCATGTGGTCTTGACTATCCATTTCGCCGCGGGCGCCTTGATCAAAGGCTAAAGGAAAATGAGTGTTGGTGTATAGGTAATTTTTTTTGTCATTTTGTTCTTTAGATGAAAAGATGATAGCCTAAGATGTGTGTGCAGTAAAGTACGCCTATCCTAATTCCCCTCCCCGTTCTTGAGACACTTTGTCTCTTTGCCCAAAATTGTCTGGGCAAGTAAAAAGTGACATCCAAATTCTACATCTGACGGAATCAGTGAAATTTTGTCTACAGACCGCATCCTGGGTTTAGCAACGAGTAACGGGGTGTGCAACAAAACGGGTGTGGATTCATATGCGGTGCAATTTGTGCAATACATGACAATACTGAGTGCTTTGTATGACCCAAAACGCAAAATCCACACGAAAAGCTTTCAAGCCAAATCCCACGACGCATTGACCCGCGTATTGTGCTGAGTGTACAAAGAATCCACTGAATGCCCGAAGTATGTCATTCAGAACACTCGTGTATTATTTCAATCATTGAAAGAAATTGTGTCCGGGTTGAATTCGGAATCCCAAGGTTGGGTGAAAGTAGCTGAAGATTCCTTTCCCCCACAAACTATTTTGGCCCTGAAAGTCAAAATGAATCTTGAACAACTTAGTTTCAGTCTCAAAATACGAGTTGGCCGGGTTTATATGCACTTCGCTGTGGCCCAACTCCACTATAGGTACAATAAAATGGAAGCGACTTGCACGTACTTGTAAATCAAATGAGCACACCAATGGCGAATGTGTATGGGGTCTGCTCCGTCTTCGTCAAAATCGTATTTTTGCTCACCGGGGCATGGTAAAGCCATTCCCCGTCGCAAAATTAGGGCTGGTCTTTAGTACAAATGCAAAATAATTGTTCACTAATAGTTTATTGAAGTAGACATGTACCAAAATACCAAATAATAAACGCTATTATTAAGCACTAAATGAAAACGCGACCCTCTTTAAAAGCAATGATGGACGTGTACAGCATGTTTAAGGCAAAACCTGCCCCTTCTGCTAACTTCGATTGTCTATGCGGGCACGAACAGTCACAATATTAGAAAAGTCTGCATGGACTCGCATGGAATACCTTTGTACCTAATGAAGCTATCGGCTGCCATTTTACCATGCCGAATACAAAGGGGATGGTTGGTTCGGCTTGCCTTTGTAACTAAACCAGGAACAAATTGGATTAGCAATGGCCGCGTCAAGCAAGCTTTGTATTGGGCATGATGGCCGCTCGGTGGTACCCATGACCTCTGGGTTGCTTACGGGATTAGGGTTCCAAGCAGATATTCATAAAAGCCTGCTAAGCCTAGTAAGCTGCTAAAATGGCCCCAAGTTGACAGTTAAGCCTAGTTTGAAGCTAAGTGATAAACTTTCAAGTTTAGTTAGTTGCTAAGTTGGCTGCTATAACATTCGAGTTCATGGGGTGTCTCGAGTCACTAGTTGGCAACTAACTCATTTATGGGTTACACCAGCGAACATGGCGACATGTATAGGCCCACTTGAATTTGCACAGCTAATCCGTGCAACTCATAAAAACCTAGTTCGCTGGTGTTCCAAAATATTACCATATCCCGTTGACATGCAAATACACATTTTCCAGTTTGGAGGTTCAAGAACTGCCTGATCATCCTAGCCGCGTGCCTAACATATCTACAGCTGCCAACTAATGGATACTAACTTACACGTCAGAAAACTACGGACTTAGCACGCAGGTAAGGCCTACAGTTGTGGCTGCTAGGATTAATATTGGCCCAGATCTTTTCATATGATATAGTACACAGGGTGTCCACATAAAGAGTACACCGAGATAAACACTTCTCTAATGGCAAAACTATTCAACATGTGGGAAAGAGAAATATATCTCTAAAACGGGCAGAATGTTCTCTGTGCAGTGGTGTATAGCTTGTGATGTTATTGACACGGATGAGTGAACAAACTAGACCGATGTTAAGGGTACTGAAATCGGCACTGTGACAAGTTTGCATATGTGATTAACAAGGCTAGACCCTGCAAGTATGCAGAACACCAAATGCCTTTGCTTTAAGAACACATTCTTGAAAACAAGGACTGGATCTAAATCAATCCCATCTGCTTTGTTTTCGCTACTTATCCCATACGTTGAATGCGCTGTGCCCTCCACATGGCCACGATTCCGTGCATATCTGACATTTTTTTTGTATTTTTTATCTCGGTATACTTTTTATGTGGACACCCTGGAAAGTCCTTGTATGCGGGCAGTAGTCGATGTGAGACAGGTCTATGGGGAGGTTTTAAAGGGGGCTGAGTCAAACCAGAAAAGCAAACTCGAAAAGCCGCAACTTGGTAATTAAACTACAGCTGAATCCCAAGTTGTGGAGCCAACCTGGATCCGCTCCCTCTGATACTTTAACTTCGAAGGACAGGCCGAGTCTCTTCCACATGCCTCTGTGCTTTGTACATGTACCACGAATATAAACTGCTTGAAGGAAAGGTAGGCTAGAGGCAGGGTTTCTTTTGCTTGCTACAAGTAGAATGTCCGTCCCGTGTACGAAATCAGGCTGTGATTACACTGGTAAAGAAGTCGATTTTCACCATACTGGTTTTGCTTATTGACCTTCCTGATCCAATTTTGTGCATGAGATACACATCAGTCGGACAATTCCATCATTGATTTTTAATCAATTTAATGTCTCAAAAAACTTATTTTGGAAAGAGTTCCGTATACGGACAACACTTGATGCCCCTATGCACAAGCCTATGAGACTTGTCTGAAAAATCCAAGTGTTTGCTAAGTATTCAATGCTGTGGATTTTTTAAAGCTAAATTTCACTTATTAGGACACGACGTGTCCAGTTTTTGGTGTTGGGGGAATTCAAAAGCGAATGCGGCTTCGGGCTTAGTCAACGTGATGTTGGGGGGAGGTCAAAAGCCTTACTCACGGTCCCAATGTCCTCGTTTTTATTTGCTGGTGTTGTTTTCTTAGGGTTTTGGTGCTAATATTTAATTTAATGAATAAATGTACCGACTACTTTTTCTCCTACCCACCTATGAAGAATCATTTGCCAAAAAAATAAATAAATCCGTAATAGGGCGCAGGTTGCCGCCCCCCCCCCCCGCTGGATACGCCACTGGTTATGACCTTCTGACCACTGTAACAACATTTTAAGGGAAGAATTTTTATCTGTATATGGAACTCTTCCCTAATTTCATCGGTGGAATGCTATTAGTAAACACGACGACAATGACTGGCCATAGAAAAAAAACTATGGACAAGTGAGATTGAGGCGGTACGGCAAACCATTCGGCAGAAAACGTCCCCAAACTGGTTTGTTTCCGGCCTCTCTCTTTCTAGTAGTTTTCCGTTTTGTCCGTTAAGATTTTCAAAACCACAAAATTTCGAATCCATGGTCCCACTGTCCACTACAAAAGTAAGTCCAGACACTTGCCTGTAGTTTTGAGCGATGTTTACCCGTCATGCTGCTGAGAGTAAAATAACGCTAACCCTACACAAGGCTTCGAGTCAACGTTGTAATACGTAGATCGGCTTCGACGGTGCACATACTTGACTGTTTCACATTGCCATCAACTTTTTAAAGTCCGACTGGAAATTGTGTCAGAAGAGCTCCAGTTTTATCTTGTTTTCCTTATGTCCAACGTTGTAGAGAAATAGTTAAACGAGTACTCCAACAATCTGACAGCGTTTACCCGTTTGGGCCGAATCTGTCAGGCAACACCGAGACTATAGACACCGTTAGTACGGTGACGAGCAAAAGTGATTCATGCCAAACGCACGTTACCAAACAATAGTTAAAGGTACGGTATTCAAGTCATGTCAACTGGTCGCGCTTGATCGAGCACGGCCCGAGCACTGGATTCATTTTTCTGAGAACACAAAAGACGGTAACTCAATTGCGACTATGTGGAGCATTTGTTTTGCGGGTTTGCAACAAACCATGCAGTCGAACCCGGATGGAACTTTCCCAGCCTTTTCGGGACAGATTCAGTGGAATGCTTCAGTTATTAGTTTATGGCGTTTCGATACAACTCACATTGCTGTGAATAAATTGAGTGCTTACACATTTTTAACTTAAAGAGTACATGTGTATTAAACCGTTCTACAAATAGCCGATTTTACGTCATGAGCTTGTTTTGCCATCTGCAGAAAATTAGGGAATGATGCAACGAAGACAACTTACAAACAAAAATGGAGCCTATAAGGAGCAAATGTTCTCACGCAGTGAATTGGTGCACGTATTGGCTTTGAGAACGCAAAAACATCGGAACACAAACGCGGCATTCCAGCAACGGTGGATAAAGTGCGACATTTTTAAGGGGATTGCCTTTAAATTGAAAGGGGAAGGTAAGTTTTAACAGTGGTTAAAAACACTGTATATTCCCGAAGATGTTATTTGAAAATTTTGAATGAAAATCAAGGCTTCTAAAATGGCTGCGGAGGAGCGATAGGTTCGATTTTCACAGAGCTCGTGTCAAAATCACCGCAAATAATTACTCTCAAAATTCCTGAAGGTTCAGCTTCTGAAAAAAGGCACTGCTGCGATATCGTAAACAAAGGTCGAGGGGTAGACTCCACCCCGGCTCAGTTAGGGTTAAGGAAAGAATGCCTTTTCTTCTTCAGCCAAACGCTACACCCCCTCCCTCAATTGACTATAAAATGAGGACACATTGAGGGCCAGATAAACAATGCCTTGGAAACAAATTCAACATTCAAGCAAGAGTAGTAATAATCTTTTACAACTTTTTTAATAGTACATTAAGTATTCTCAATAGATTTTGTTTAATTAGAATGCACGATACATTTTCAAAGCGGTTTTTACATTTGTAACACGGTTTAATTTCAGTTTGAGTAAAGAACAGCCGCATTATTTTGAAAATGAAACGAATCTCTCGGCGTGCAGCCCCTTGGACACTGAGGCAAGGGCATCGCCAAAAAGAAGGCGTAACTTTCTGGTCGTCCATGTAAGCGACAATGACGATGACAATGACGAAATAATGTTCACTTTTACAGGTGGGAAGAAAATCCCCAGATAAGTATTTAAGGTAAAATTTACAGAATCGGGGGGGGGGGACCAAAACCCCAATCCACGTGTCGACCGAAGTGGGAATCGCACCCGGGACGGACACGGAGGTGGAGGGCGGGAAAGAGCCACTACGCCAACCTGACTCCAATGATGCTTGTGAAGTCTGAAGAGTAGCATACTGAGGTTTGTAGTCCAAGGGCAAATTTGAGATTTTTGTTATGAAATAACTGTCATCCGACCAGGAAAGTGAAATCAGCATATCTTAAATGATGGCGCTTCCAGTCAAAAAAACAAAACAAAAACATTTTGAAAGAAATACAGCTAGCCATAGCCAGTTCACTCAGACATGATTAAGGCTTTCTGATACAAACCTTTCAGTCACATAACGATTCTATCCCAGTACCAGCGACAAATGCAGGTACTGTCGGGGAGACAAATACAATACGTACAACAGTTACAGTATTACACGAAAATCAGCTGATTTCCAAGCCTTTGTCTACAATCCTTGCCAGTGCATGTATGTACAATTTCTTCTGCATAACTGCGTTGACAAAATATTGGTACAAAAATGAAAAATCACCTGAGAATGTATATGGTTATACTGCCATTTTTTCATTATTAAAAAAACATTGATGTAAATGTGCCTATACTCAAAGCCTACTTAAAATCAGCTTTGACCTTTCCCATTATACAACACATGGTTTCAAAGGAGTACACTCTGCCGCAACAATGAGAGTTCGAGGTTGAATATAGTTCTTATTGGGGGTTTCTTTTACACAGTGCAGTAAAAAATCATTGTGAGACTACATTTTTACTAACAGTGGTGAAAGGTTTACGGTTGTGTTTGGTCGGGCAAAGTTGCTGTAAACACGATTTTCACGAAGTAGCACGCAAGTGCAGTTGAGTGCGACTTCGTGGTGTGACGACCTGATTTGATTCTAACTACCATCTTGAAACATTGTTTACATGGCGACCATTGTTGCATTGAAAGAAATTGCACTTTCCAACCCCCAATTTTCCCATGTACGCGAAACCTTGTTTGAAGACCACACTCTCTCATGATATTAACCAAAAACGCGATTTCAAACGGCAATGCAAGATTCAAGCTTTTTAAAATCACAATGACTTCTTCTTGCTTAAGTTACGCTGAGGGCAGGCGCGTGAAGTTGATTTTAATGCAAGTTCAAGCAAATTAAAATAACTGCATCGTATACACATTGCAGCTGAAAATAATAACGTAATAGCTTGTGGATATAGTCAAGATAAAGAACAACTAGGTAAATACATGTCAGCACGCATGCGCCATGCATTACACATTATGCATCTGTGAATCAATCCCAGTTATCTAACATGTGGATTGTCCATCCCATGTCATGAATTATTGTCCTGTCCACAAACACACCATGGCTGCACCACCACAAAATGGAACATTCCATTTGGCAGGTAAATTGCTTCAATCTAAAATGCTTTAAGCAGGAATTTTTGTATTCATTAGAATTTATTCTTGAGATGCAGGGATTTTTTCAGGCATTGCATACAACAAAAGACAAACGTTTCACATCTGTGCAATGAAAAGAATGATTTAATTTGGGTAACAAATGAAATATGTTATTCCGGTCAGTTTTGTGTTGTGGAATGGAACATTCAATCTTGCACTTCGTGAATTAACCACTGCATTCATAAATATTCATTATCTGTACATTGTATGCACATATAAGTTCGGAAAGGCAAATTTCAGTAAGAAATGAAAGATTGTGTTTGGAAGAATATACTGCATTAGAGGAACGGCTTGCGGTTACACAATAAGAATCGGGGGGGTGTTCATGCTTGCGGATAATCCAGCACACAGTGGCCAATCTCAAAACCCTGCTTAGCAAAGAAAGTATTGGCCCTTTGCTTAGCAAAAATGGTTATCAGTCCACGTGGTATGCAAAGTACATCACTTGAGACTGGTCCTCTGCTCATCTTTGGCTCTGCAAAGAAATCTACTGAGCGTGTTTCCAAGAACTTTTGCACAGGGGAGCCTGGCCTCCATCCCTGTGAAAAGCATCACTCACAACCCTTTTGTTGTCCAATTTCTGTTGTACTGCGATGCGTGTTGGCTTGCAGCCGCCACATTTGCCACATTCCAATGCCTGCAACTCAATCACTTTCAATGCTGCCCACGGACGTAAATCAAAATGAACGCTTTCGCACGGATACTGCGCAAAATCATGCAGGCATGAAAGGGGACAAAAGATTTTACCCAAACCAAATAATGGCTCATGGTTTGACTCAATGAAAATGGTTAGTAGAACCACACAATACCTAGGCTTTGTTGATGCTGGGGCAAAGGAAATGCGTTGGGTGTGCAGGTGAGACCAATCAAATGCTGACTGAGTCTATTTCACGGAAAGCAGTCAGTGAGCACATACATTTCCCTGCTAAATAGCCCTAAAAAGGCTGTTTTATGGCAAGTCATGAGATGGTGAATGCTGGAGGCTGATGATTACCAGACACTGAAGCCTTTTGGTGCAGTTCATACGTGCGTAAAACATGCAACATGTGCATGAAAGACGCAAAATTCTGTCATGTACACAATGTGACAATCATGCGTGCACTGGTTCATTTATGAAAAGTATGGTCAGCAACCTGAATCTTTTGAACCCTGGATCAACATGGAGGAAGAACACAGGAGTTTGAACTATCTGGGCTAGAACACCCGCCGATTACCGCTTACTGGCATGCCCGGTATGTCCATAGCCAGAGCGCAGCGAATTCTTACCGCACCATCCATTTCACAACTTTTTATGCCCCTTTGTACCCCATAATCATCACCACAGCTTTTCACTGGTAATCTGCATCCTTAAAACGTTATGTACTGCAGTATTGGAAGTTGAATATTGATACCATCGCTGGTGCTCGGTATGATCTGAAAACATCAAATTTAACGCTTGCACAGTTGCTTGTATTAGGCTGTGTGCCTTAATTAAGTGTTCTAACTCCTTCTGTGTCCTTCCTCCATGGTAGCATCAACCTTCAGCAACTGGTCACTGGCATTTCAGTGACAACCATTGAGAGGCGATTTTTCAGCACGTCACAGACTACGGACTGGCCTTAACCCTTCAAGCTTCTTGAGGTCATATTATCAAATAGGCACAGACGGCAGTGTGCCTGGGGCCTACAGAAAGTCAGGAGTTAAAACAAAATGTAAAGTACTCTCGGAATGCCATAGACACCAACAAACTTGCACGCGACAGAAAGGAAGTTTCGGTTTCCCTTACTCATTTCACAATTTTGGAACAACTAGCTGGTTCCCAGCTCACTCAATGTCAGCATCAACACAAAAGGTGAAGTCCCAGTGCTGACACAATGGAAACATTGCTTATATATACCAGGAATGGAGTAGGGCCAGTGGAACACTAGTTCTTCCCAATTTTTCACAAAAACCATGGGGGTAATTTTGTAAGACTGAGGTAGAGTTCACCTTTTTTTACTTGGCATGTAGCCTGCACGGCAATTTTTTAAATCAGAACCCTTGGAAATGCATCTCAATGCTTCGATTGATTTTATTTTCAATATTGTTCAATTTTAGACGGTTTATGTATGCTTATACAAGCTTTGATATATGTCAACAAATCTGTGATGTCATTTCAAGAGGAACACATCAATGTATACCAGAAAATGCTGGAATTTTCCATATTTTACTGTTCTAAATTTTTTCTCTATGGTGATTCATTGTTGTGTAAGTCAAAGGCAAGAATCTACTGAGCGGCCCATTCCAAAATATGTATTCAAGGAGCAAATTTGGGGTTCACAATTTGAACAGAGAGCCTTTAAACTGAACAATGTATTCCTTGATTGACATTACAGCGACAGCGCCCTCTGTTGTTTGGAAAAGCACAGACAATTCTAAATGTTTAAAAGAAGTGTACTTTTCAAAACACTGAACTCCATCAGGATGTCAAATAGTTCTCACACATCAGAGAAGAGTATATTGTGCAGCACAAATCTTCAGCGTGGATAAAAATCATCATCTGGGCCCATTAACGTTTACGGAGTGTGCCACTGGTCACCCACAGAGTGGAGAACTTAAGCGATTCACACAAATTCCTGGCAAATGTGACTTGGTAATCAGCGTTTACCATCAAATCAGAGGGAAGCACGCCCCTAGTTCCTCTTCCATTCCAAGACAGCAACTTTTGTTTCATTGTTTCTTTTCATTAGTTTTGTTCTTTGTTTTTTTGACACAAGAACCGAATCCATCAAAATGTTGGCAGACTTTGAGCTTTTAGGATAATCTTGGAATGTACGTGTACGCGGCTTCATTCATTGCACAAAATAAAATAGATTTTTTTTTAGGTTGATACAGGTAATATAATGGCAGGCCAACAGCGCCTTAATCAAACACAAACTGTGACCTTTTGAGACTAATTACCATCTCATTCCATTCATAGACGAGTACAGCAGCATCCTATCAACACGTGGTTTTCTGTCGAAAAAAAAGCATACAAAATTTCTGGTTGGAAGTTTGAATGCTGAGACCTGAAGGAACTGGCCTTAAACAGCACATAGCGAGTAGACTGTTCCAGGACACGGCAGTTCCTATTCTTAAAGATCCTTTATGTCAAAAAGTAGGGCTGTTCCGAATAACCGAATATTCGATCGATTGTCGAATATTCAAATATTCTTTTTCGAATTTGAATATTTGAATGCTAAATTCATGATAAGGAAGGGAAAATTTTCTTTTCGTTTTAAGTGACAAAAATTACATTATGGAGGCTTATTTCAAGCAGAATGAAATAAAAAGCGTCAGAAATCTTACAACAATTTAAAAAGTAAATTATTCATTAAACAATTTAAAAGGAATAGAAATTTTCAACAGGGTAAGAAGTCTTGTTCCTTTCTTAAATCTTGCTAAATCACGGCTGGAGATACTCCTAGATTTGATAAGTTATTATATTGATCATAATATACAATTGTGTGTGTTATTGCAACTGATTTTGTATATGGTTTGTTCATCAACAATCTGCCGGTCGGTACGATCGAATATTTGATGAAATTGAAGATCAAATTATTGAATATTTGAATAGTAAATTATTCGAATTGACTCAGCCCTATCAAAAAGTTAAAAATTAGTCAAGGTTTGCCCAAAGTCCAGAAAGACTGTCCCACAATTTCATTTCATATTTTCTAGAACACCTATCCCAGTCGTGCTCTTAAAAATATACATGACGCATGTAGTGCTTGACATTTCCACACTATGGCACAGAATGTAGGACTTAATGCTACTTTTTCCATCTGTTTAAAACCACCTCGGACTCCAGGCTGACAGGAGTGGTCAAACTGACACATACATATTTATGAGTATTACTGACCACAATTTGTCAGTTAGTAAGCTGTGGCGGGTGTCTTTGGCGCTTTCTCGACATTGTGTATATACAAGTTGGCACAGACGCACAGGAACAAGACAGTGGCAGCATTGTAGTAAATCAGACCGCGGAACTTGGGAGCAATGTCTCCTTCTCGATACCAGTAAATCTGTTGAAAAGAAAATGGAACAGACACTTTGAAAAATGAGGGTTCCCTTGATGGTGAAATGAGAAGATGGGTGATATAATAAAGAGGAAGATTTCATGCTTCTCTAATGTAATTTTAAAAAGCATTGTTCAAAATAGAAAGCCAAGGGTGGATTCAGAACAAAACTTTTTTCGGGGGGGGGGTGGTCTAGCTTTTCAGTGAGTGAGACAAAAATTTGAGGACTGTACCTGACCTTTGTTGCCTATCTGAAGGGCAAAGCTAAATTTTTGGAAATGAATTACTGGAGGGGAAGGGGTACAGCCTCCGACAACCCACCGATGAAGAGACAAGAAAATTTCATCAACTGCAGTGGGTTGGATTCTTCAGTGAAGGGTGCAACCTACTGTGCCAAATTAACAACTCCAGGTGCAAATATTCCATTAAAAAAATCAATATTTTGTAGAACTGCGATATCAAGTTCACGCTGGAAAACCCACCCCAGCAAACTCAGTGGATGAGTGACAAGATTTCAGTACCCCAGAACGTGACATCATCGGTTTAAAGTCCGTCCGAAATTAGCCTCCAAATTTTTCCCACTTGCTCCTGAAAAAAACATTACAGATGATGTGTGGGCTTCATGCCTTGCGAATGAAATGTTGCCATAGCAACACATCGTGTGTGTGCTGAATACTGTTGGGAACTGAGCGTGAAAAAAGAATTTTGAATATATATTCTAAGAGGTGGCACCAGGTGCGTAGTGAAAACAGTCACCCCCTCCCTTCTTTGCCCTTGAGGGGGTACGTGTACTTGCTGAACTGATTTCCCTGAACCATCCAAATTCTGAGAAACGGTGTTTGAAATAGTTACCAGTAACAAGTTGCCGCCACATACTAAGACAATGACAAAGGCAAAGGTGATGTTGACCGCTGAGGGTGGCCAGGCAGGAAATATGAAAGCACTGACCAATGTCACCTGAAAAAAAAATAATATACCAGGAAGAATTTAAATTTTAGCCAGCACTACCACAATTATGCACTCAAATTTTGCCCCCAGAACTGTTGTCCGAAGAAGAAACATCCCTGTATGTGAAGCACTCGTCTTTCATTTGAAATGCTGGACTAAGAGGTTTGTGGCCATCCATATACATATCTGTACTAACTTTAATCAGATGGAGTGAAATCTTTCTCAAAGCATGCCCAAAAGTCACCAGTAGGTAGCTGAAGAGTCCTCATTCTGCCTTTGAGAACGATTCCGCTGAGATCAAATTGTCAGCCTGTTGAACTTCCAAGGGAGATGTGAGGAATTCAGTGTCACAAGCCTCGAAAGTGCCAGGCACAAGTGTACCGCAAAGTTGCTTAAAATCCAAGTGATTTTTTTCCCTCACAGTCCAAGGTTATTACACTTGCCCCAAGTCCTTTCTGCTTTTGTTTCCATTTCCATTGCATATTTTTCCCTCTATTATGAGTGCTGCCATTCATTCTCCAGTTTTCAATGCGCATTTATAACCCTCCAAGGGTGTTTGCACAGTATCAAGCAGAAGCAATATTTTGGAGTGACTTTTGATTATACTCCATAGTCCTACCTAAATTACTCTTGCTAGATTGTGTTTTCTTCAAACTTTGTACAATAAGAATGTATTTTTGTGTTTTTTTTGGGGGGGGGTATTTATCTCTTTTAACTTTTTAGAGGTAGATTTTTAAAGTATTTTTTCATAGTTTAAATTTTTTTTCCTTATTTTGGTTTTTCAATTTCGTTGAGGTGATTTGTAATTGAGTCAGTGATACCCAACCTGTACATGGAGATTTGTTCACAATTGGTTTTGACTGAAATAAACAAAATAAATAAACACTTTTGGTCATGGCATTTGGTGAGCAGCTGCTTACTGTTTTTGGTAGCCAACATGAAGGGTCACTGAGGTCCCACAGACTGCTGGAGGAATAAACCGGTTGTGAGACACATACTCACCGTTACAAGAATAGCTGTGATTATTCCCAATGACAAGTTTATGACTCGGTCCTGCAACGATAAGCCAGTGTTGAATTATCAGTCACTATTCCAAGTAGAATTTTTGAAGTTGAAATGGTAGAAAGTAATTCTTAGGACCAAGTTTATCAAACATAAAAAATTGCTAAAATCACAACTATAGAAGGAAAACCCTAAAATAAAGCTTCCAAGAATAGCCTGATAACCCTCTGTGTTAGTGTGTTTGTAGATTTATACTGAAACTAAAGGATTAAGCCTTGTCATGTTTAAAGATAGCCAACTTGTGAATAAAGTGAATGGGCTTACCAAGGCACTTTCATTGACAAGTCATAATGCTTACCCTTGTTTGTCGCTCTCCAAATAATGGAGTCTGTACAGTGTCACTTTCGTAGTAACTCATAGTTCGTTCATTTATCGTCAACCTGGCTTTCAATTCAAACAGCCTGTTGTTTAGTCCTTTCTTTCATAAAGCAGCATGTTCATTCTTGGCAGTTTGACATATCTGTAGCCCCAACAAAAGGCTGGCCTCATACGCAGCTACACTGCATCATTCCCTAGGTATGAAGCAACACAGGATCCAGATCTGGAATTGTTTTTTCATGCAACAAAAGACGTAAAGATGAGGAATGTTAAAAAAACAGACCATATCTTTATCTACAGAGAGGTTTATTCACCTGTGTACAGGTGTATTTAAATGCGACTTGAAATTCTGATGGGATGGGTCAAAAAACCATTTTAAGTGGCGTGAAACTGCACATTTCTGTCAAACAGTTTTAAACTTGTTTCTGTTTGGCTATTTTTCTCTTTAAAAATGTTAAACAATAAAATGGAAGATAAAATGTCCACGTATGGACATGACTTGTTTTTTCTTTGCAGTGGTTTATAAGCTACAGTATCAGAAAGTGATAACATGTCCTGAAAACTTAACTGCACCATGCTGAAAATACTGAAGCATACTTAAAAACATTTAGAATTTTTCAGACCAGTCTCAAAGGGTTTGTGCACAGGGTGTCCAGTGATGTCCATGTAAAGAAATCTTCCCAAATCAGAACTTTTTAATTCTACAAACATTCTTTTTTTCATCCAAACTGTACGGGATTGAAATAATCTTCCCCAGCATATCACAGATACCGGTGACGCTAAAAAATTTGAAGGCATGAGGAATTTTTATTTATTTTATAATGAAGGCCCTATTTAATTTTTGGTTTAATAGCAAGTGGAAAAGTGCAAGAAAATTAAAAAACAAATTTCAAATAAATTTCAAACATTATGCTCATGAATAGCCGTCCACCTCTCCTTGGCTGAGTGTTGTTTCAGTAGGAGCTGATCAGCAACTATTTATCAAGATCAGGAATGTGGTCTCACGACTGAAGTCTCGCAAAAGGTGCATAGAGTAACTATCGCCCAAACATCATGCAATTGCACACTTCACTGATCACACCCAACATGCCAACTAGTACTTGAACTAGGCTTATAATGTCTAGTCGACTTTTGAAGATCCTGCAACCTTTATGGCCTAGGTCCTACATGCTACACGGACGTCAATTAGGATTTCCTTTGCCAATGCCATGTTTGCAGTGGTTTTCACGTTTTAGCCTCAGACATGTCAGAAAGAAATACGGGCCTAACATGTCAAGCTGGGGAAATTCAGAAGAATTTACTCAGAAAAACACTCAGCCTCAAAGGGTGTGCGCACAGGGTGTCGACGTAATAATCAAGTGATGTCTGGGCCTTCCTCAATGGTCTGGGTCATGGAAATCAATGACGTGATTTTTCGCCAACGTGCATGACAATGCAAATTGACATGTCCGAAAATTGGGCAATTACGCAACAAGAAAAAATATCCTCAAATGGGTTTCTCCCTGAGTATTTTCCAGTTAAAGCGTAAATGAAAAGTTACGGCAATTCCTCACCTCATGATAGATTCACGTAATGATAGACAACTGGTTGAAGAATTTGAAGAATTGTCATACATATGGCGAACATCACACAGCACGTCACATGCCTGATTGCTGCTTGGTTCCCAGAAACCTTTAATGTATGTTCCATTCTTTCGTGTTAACAACGGTGAACGGCCAGACTCTTCAGAGACATCACTTGCTTTTGAAGCCGTGTCCAAGTCACTTGGCTACAGCTGGTAATAACACATGTGCCTATGGGAAAGGGGTGTAGCCACTCATGACTAGATGTGGAATCCAGGCTTAGGACCTTGCGACCGGCCGAAGTGGGCGTGACCTAATGAAGATGAACAAGTCGCGGAAAGGCGGTCACACCGGCCACCTGTTGTTTGCATAGATTTTTCTTTTGCAATTTTAATTAATCATTTTGTGATCAGGGTTGAAGTGGATACATCTTTCTATTCGACCAAAAAAATTCGGCAAGGGAGAAGCGCAGTGAATCTGAGGGTCGAGTCGACAGGTCCCGAAATACCTGCCGTAGGCCTACTAGTCCCCTCAGGATAGGATACGATGGCCAGTCGTGTAACACTGTGCTTGAAAAGAGAGCATCCTTGATCTCCAGTGGCATAGTCAGAGGGGGAACCCCACTCCCCCGTGGCAAGCCTTCTCCAACCCTACCCCGCCCCGCCCCGGGAAAATTGGGGGTTTCTTTCTGTTGGGCTGTCGACAACCGCTCAGGTCGGTAGCTAGCAAATCCCGTACCACGGTAACGCTATGATTGACAACAACTCCCTATTCATCTTTTGGACACTTTGGCTCCCATTCCGAAAGTGACCGAGAAAAAGAGTCCGGCGTGTTTGCCGGCTGCAGCGCCTGGTTTGAAATGTGTTCCTACCCGCTGCATTTTTCAGATTTGCCCTTTTTTCGTCTGTTTCGTCTTTCCCAACACCCACCGTTGTTTCATTTGTTGTTTTTCTATAATAAATATGTAGGGTAGGGTTACATTGACAGAGCTACAGAGAACCTACAAAATGTATTATTAAAACAGTCCAATTTTCGACAAATGGTGTCGAAATATTGTTTTTATTTCATGAATTCTTTGACTAGTGCTGGTTTGCCGACAGTGCCGAATGTGCAATATTATTGCTTCGTCTGATTGAAACCGAACTGCTTTCCCCAAAAGTGCTGATTTTCGTTGCAAGTAATCCGTCTGGCACTAGTAAGATAGTCATAAATAACGGGGCCTTTCACTTTCAGTGTTCCCAACACGGTGCCGTATGTGTACCGTGACGATCCCTGGCGACTTTTTTGGGGGAGGAGCTGCATACAGCGTCGAAGTCATCAATACAATAAAGATTTCAAATAAAAAATTATGATCAGAGTGACCCCACAGGAAAAAGACTTCCATCTCCAGCAGGGACTGGGAGGATTTCAGATCATCCCATGAGACTAGGCGCATGTGCTGTACGCGGTGGGAACGAGCGCCATCTCACGCTTGGTTGACGCCCCCAAGTTGGCATGTCAATGGAGGGCGTTTTCACATGCGCTTATTTTTTTTTTTTTTGAGAGAGCGCTAGATCAAGATGGCAGCGCGCAGTGGTAGTGTGTCGGAAAGTGATCGATGGCTCTCCGAAATTGTTCAATTTCGGAAAAATTCAGTGACGTTTTTGAACACACGACAAATTGAGGCTGGTGAATTTGTGCTGGATATTTTACAAGTGAGTGTTTGCTATAGACCTATCGATTTTAATTGTAAAAAGATAGTAAACCAATTTGTAAACATGGTAAACAGAGACATGACAGTGGTTACGTTGAAACTAGTACAAGCAGACAAGCATGACAAGTAGGCCCCAGCACAGTCGACTCCTCGTGCAACATGTCCAGTAGCAGTATAGTAGGCTACAATAAACTTCATTTGCATGCCAACGTCATCGGTTATGATTGTAAATGTTGGGCATGTTGGGTGTGAACAGTGGATCTGTCATGTCTGTGTGAATATTACTCCCCCATTCAGCAGATCAGTCGATCTTCCTTTCTTCCAAGCTCATGGCTAGGCCAATGGAAGATTTTTCATCAGGTTTTGTCTTTGTTTTCAGTTATTTGGACGGTTTTCAAAGGTCCAAAGTGAAAGTCTGCCCGATATTTATCCCCAGAACTGTGGACGTTGCCAATGTTTTGTCTTGTTTGCCATGCTTGTACTGGATTGACCAGTAGACTAGTAATCCAATTTGCAAGTGACTTGGTCACCAAGGCGGACGCGCCACGATTTGCAAGCTCCTATTGGACGATTGCTGAAGTTGCGTGTTAACTTCCAGCTCCATGTAAACGGCAATCAATGTATGTAACACTATGTGCAGTGCATGTGCAGTGCATGTGCAGTGGGCGTGGTTTAACTGAAGTGATGTCACACTTATGAACAGGATAGTGCAGTTTGATTGACAAACGGTGCAGATCCTTCATTCACCCCGATGCCAGAAACAAGTGTTGCATTCGAGTCTATCACAAGTCAGTGCAAGTCCGTGTTCCACCACAAGTTCATCACAAGTCATTCTGTCTTACAAGCTATTCAAATGAACTGTGACAAAAACAATTCGTTTGTCATTGTTCACACTGTTACCGATGGCTGACCTTGTGAAGGGACTTGTGACTGCACTTGTGATGGACTTGACGCCAATACTACCAGAAATATCACCGGACATTCCAGCTGGTGGCCATCGTGGTCACAGGCTTGACAAACAGAAGCTGCTTTGCCATTTGATCTACACGTGTGCTGGGAGCAATGGAGGGATTTATCGGTCAATCTTGCAGCAAGAACTGGTGTGATCTTGGTACCATCTGCCGATTGCCTGGTCTCTTACAAGCCAATTTTCTGAAAGAGGAAAAAAGAGTTCCAGATATGAACAACACTTTATGCCCCTGTGCATGAATCTGTGAGACTTGTCTGAAAACCTGTGTTTTCCGAGTAAATGCTTCAGAATTTTCTTCGCTAAATTTCACTTTTTAGGACCTGTTATCACATTCTGAAAGCTGTTATAACATTTTAAGGGAAAATTAACTGTGTTGTCTGCATACATGGAAACCTTTCCCTGAAAGGTGGTTTTGAAAAGGAGAGGTGACTTTCCCACTTAAAAACCTGTTTTTTTTATGGGTGATGGGAAGTCTTCCACAGCCAACCACTACACATTCACCAAAGAAGACGGTCACCGCAAAATCTTAGACTGTTCAGGGAAGAAGAAATTAATAAGTCACAAAAAAATGTCAGCTGTTGACTGTGGCAATACAACATAAAGGGAAAAACAACTATTTCTTACTGAGTTGTTCTCTGTGGTTTCTTACCAAAATTCAGGCGCTGTACTCTGACAAGCTTGGTAACACCATCCGGGTTGTTCTGCTTACCATTTTACAAGAAAAAGCATCATGTTTAATGTCTACACCAGATAGGTATGCTGCCAGTCATTTTAATTTGAAGCGTTGTTGTACATGCATTCAAGCCATTTGTTACAATTCATGTCTTATCCAAAGTCTTTTTCTACAAGTCATGTCAATTTGTCAAAAGTCTTTTTATTTCACTCCTTTTTTCTCCTAAGCATGTCACTCATCATTATTGATGTAAAACTGTCTTATTCATTTTTGATCATGCAACCTAAATGTGTGGTGTTATGCCAATCAGGTTTGACCATATCGACCTGATATTTTTCCCATCATCATAATTTATGCACATATTTCTAATGCTGAATCATCAACATAATGAAAACAGTAGAGTTTATTTTTGCACACAACAGTCATGTGAAGGAGTTCAGTCTTCAATTCACATCTCAGTGATTGGTTCATTGTTGTGGAAGCTGCAAGCAATATATTCATCAGAATTACACCGAGTTACGTGTGTTGATTTTAAGCGTCCCCGTATGTCTGCACAAATGTAATCTTTTGTTTACAGTCTCAACTTTGTGTAAGACATTCCAAGCAACCATTGCTGGACCGCCAGTGCATTTTATCTGTGACTGACATAAAAAGGCCACGGAGCACCAGTGAACAGAACTTCTTTTGAATTGATACAGTATTGAACAGACAGTTGGTTCCCTGACAAGCATGTACAATCAGACAACCCTTGAAACGGGAGCTTTCTACAAGAGCCAGTTGCTCGTCACTGTGACAACAATATTGCTGGAAACCGGGCAGCTGGTACGTTGGATGAATAGTGGTAATTTATTTTAGGCTATGTAGTCCCTCCAGAAGGAAAAAAAACACAGAGCACTCCTCGGCAAGAATAGTTCGGAAGGTTAAATTTGTAAGCGTTGGTTTGCGCTAAAGTCAGGAATCTACATTGATTTTGTCCCCTTAGACTTTCAACTCAAACATCAGTTGCATGGAAGGAAATGCAGTGAGTGAAATGATTCGTCAGATGACATTTGAAAGCCTCAAATATGACAAACTTTGTGCGGCGTACAGGGTTGGCTACATGGATTGTGTTCTGGTCTTTCTGAAATGTGATTAAGTTGTTATCTGCCTTTAAATCTTCTGTATCTAATCTGCAAAAGTTCGACTGGCACATGTTTTTACTCAACTTTCGCTACAGGAAGCACAGCCGCAGCTGTTCACAGATCTTGTGGAACTTCTTCTGGACACGGTGTCAAAGGTCAACCGTACCGCAGATCAGACCGTTCGAGGGACAGCCTGCCAGTGCCTCAGTGAAATAGAGACAATGCACCCGGTCAGTATGGAGTAGAGGGTGGGCCGGTAATCTGCCCTGAGCTTAAGTGCGCCCTCACCAGTGAAAAAAAGACAGGTGGTAGTAAGTTTTCCAACTGCGTGCACGCGAAGACCATACATTCCAGACTAAAATTCTTGCACATACTTAGTGTGCTTTGCGTCAAACGCGCGTAAACTTGTGCGCCTATGCAGTGAATGCGTACCAAAAGGACTGTCAATTTCATTTCAAAACACACCCTCTTTTGTTCATGCTCGGAGCGGGTAGACTTGGGATACTCAGGCTCATCAACTACTAAATGATATAATAATAATAATAATAATAAGTTAGTATTTATATAGCGCCCGTCCATGATAAAATCGTGCTCCAGGGCGCTTTCCAAAAAGTTAAGACACTGGTTAAAACTACAATACAATTACACTAAAAACAATAAAAAATAGTAAAACAAATTATTGTAAACAATAAAAACTAGCAATTAAAAAGTTTTACAATGATCCAAAAATCTGTAAAATATGCCTACCTCAAAAAGGGAATTTGGACAATTAGATTAAAAAAACGCTTGCTTAAAAAGATGAGTCTTTAATCCGGATTTAAATTAATCCGGATTAATCCTTTAATCCGGATTTAAATTAAATTAAATTAAATCCGGATATAGAGACATTGCGTCTTGTGAGTGTGGACCTGAAATCCTTCAGGTATCAAGAATATCTGAATAGTAGGAGTAGCCAGAACTCCTGCTTTTTCTACGGGATATGCGGTTGACCTTTGCCTGATTGTCCAGGGCAGCCAAAAAGTTGCCTCCCAGACATGTATACAGCAGAATAAGCCTATGTATAGATGACATTCACACTTAGTTTACATGTGCACTTGCTTATGGAGCCAGTGAGGGCCCACAGTCCACTGAGCACCATATAAAGGCATACACATAAAGACGACGTGGCATATTCAGTACTGAGGTCTGTAGTTTTTATATACAGCTGTTTGAGAAATCACAACTCTAACCAGATTTGACGATCAACAAAAATAAGAAAACAAAATCTACAAACAACATCAAAAGTTTCCATGGGCATTGAGCTTCAAACTGGACTAAGAGAGGGCACAATTTTTCTAGCAAGAGGAGCTCCATTGGTTGGAACCGCACTTGGCTGGTTCACAAACAACTATGAAATACATGCATTACAGGCACATGGCTACCAGCAAAATGAATACTCCTGACCAACATAGCTCTTTTCAACCGATGAGGGGGTGCTTCTGCTCGAGGGGGTGCTTCTGGTCAAGGCGGTTTATTTCTGCCACCATCTGCCCAAACAACTGGTGATGCAAGCTGAATTACACTTCTCAAGCGTCAAAAGTGCTCTCAGCTAAAATACAAATTGTCAACTCTGTCTTACTGCAAAATGCTTCTGAATAGCCTCTGTCAGTTATATTTAAGGCACAACTTTGCCTGGAACCAGATCTCCCCCAACTAAAGTATTTCAAGTGGAGCATATCGTTATGATTAAGCTCTGAGATGTCTGAAAAAAATTATGTTAATTTACTTCTATCCATAGATACATGTACATTGAAGATATTTTATTTCATTTTGCCAGGGTATTTTGATGAGGAAATTGGAGCACATTTATGCCATGAGTCAGCTAGAGTGTACGCACATCTGTCAGAATTACATGGTAAGAAGCTTTCCTTCATCCTTTGAGTCACCCGTCACTTCCAGCACAGAATTGTTTTTAAAATCAAACTCTCTCGTAAGTTATTCATTCAAGTGTCCCAAACCTTAACCCAGTGTCATTTTGTTAATACTTATTCCTTATCCCATCAGGCCTTGTTTGTGCAGGTTCTGAAGAATTCCATTGACATTCTGCTGAAGAGTGGAAACAGGTAAATGTCGTATTGTAATGAGTTTGAGTAGTATCTCTTCTCTTTCTTGAAAACTGTTAGGTTCTTATTATGCCCATGTTGTGATTTTGACAATGTGTAATTTGGCAGACTTCTGTTTTAAGAAGTTGTGAGCTCAGTGTTCAACCTCGCCATTTGGCTTTGGATAAGCAGGTACCAATTAAACCAGGGTAATATCTGTGAGTGCATTTGTTTCAAATTGGTTTTCTTCACAGATTTCATGGCAGTGAAGTGACCGATCTTCTCAGTAGCAGGACAGAACCACTCAAGGTGCCACAAAGTCAATTCTTTTGAGTGGGGGGGAATGTCACCCTAAGCTTTGTGTCCAGCTTTGACATCTGACTTCAGTTCCGGCCGAGCTTTGCGGCACTTTTTGCCTCAGAAACATTGAATCATCTTTATAGGCCAAGGTTTTTTATCATTTTCATCTGGCCACAGCTTTTGAAATGAAAACTATTAAACAGGTTCTTCGCTTAATGTCTGGCTGATGGCGAGAGCACACTGAATGAGGTTTCTGGTTAAACCCTCTGGGTCGTGTTACAACCACCGAAATCTGAGTTTGATACATGGCACGTTGCTGGGTCATTTTCCAAATTTTGTCCTCTCCACTATCCAAAAATCACATTTATCAAAAAAGTAATCTTGTAGACTTTCTTAAAATCTCCATTGTCTCTGATTTTGCTCAGCCCCTTGCGCTTCCAGAAGATTTCAGCAAGAAAATGTTTCAGCTAGGTTCACCACCGGTAAGTCCAAATAAGCTGACAATTAATGCCACTGCTGTAGGTAGGAGGCTGTAGGTGAAGGTTTTCACTTCAGACACCTTTCTTCATGCAACCAAAGAGTAGTCAAATGTTATCCTAGTCGCTTTCCCTTTGTGGTGGTTTTGAAGCATTACTGGACCTTCTGTTAGGGCACTGGCAGACAAACACACGTCAAGTTTACATTCATTTCTTTGTTAAGCCTAACCCCATAGGCAATATGAACATGGTGAAATGTTGTTTTGAAATTTTGAGACTGTTACAGTTAACCCCTTTGCTACGGAGGACTATGTGAGGATTAGTGCATACCTCACATACAGTCTATTCACCCTGCAGCTGCTGGTTCAATGGGGCCTGCTGCTGGACAAAGCCCTCCATTCAGGGCATACCACAGCCCAGCAGTCGCGGTCAAAATAATCCCGCCACCACCGTGAAGGGGTTAAGAGAGAATAAAGCAAAGATGTACGTCACCGTACCCGTACATTGCCAGGTGATAGTCAAAGACACAGCATTACTCTGTAATGTCAGGTAAAACTCACAGCGGCTGGAATAAGTGTTTCAATGTATCCAAACTGTGGTTTTGATTTCTCTTCAAACTGAATGAGAGGTTTGTGTTGGATCAGAAATGATTACAGGAAATCTAAGGAAGCAATGAATGCTGTTTGGGAGCCCAGTGTCTTCCTTTGCTTTTTAGCGTAAAATGGTCATTGTAGTTTTGTTTTTCAGAAATGCAATTGAAATAATTTCAAGTAATATCAAATTCTCTATGGAAACATGTTATTTTCACAGGACTCCTCGTTAAGATGCTTCCCTGAGGACGTAGATTGTAAGGAGCTGCTGAGGTGTTTGTCATTTCTGTTGGACAACCTTTATCTCATGACCACGGCCTGTGCCGTGACGACGCTCCTTAAACTCGTCGACTGCATGGCGACGTCCCCTCAAATTGCACCGCACGTAAGTGGCGTATCCCGTGTACAGTTTCTGCAAGCTTAACGTTTGTGACCACAGCCTTAATCTGCCTTGATTTGAAGCAGCCGCTCACCGGCAAAGAAAAGACAGGTTGGTGGGAATTGTCTCACCTGGGTGCCCGGTGCACGCCTAGAGACGGTATACACATCAGTGGAAATTGGTCGTTCCTGCTCAGTGCATCCTACGCCAAATGTGCGTAAATTTGTGTGCGCAGGCAACAAGTTCCCACCCAAGGACCGTCACTGGTATGCAAAAGCAAGCCATCTGCTGTTTCCCGCACAGAGCAGACAGGCCACATCTAAGAATGAACCAAATCATAGGCCACATCTGAATCAAGTGGCTACAGTGGGAACAACACACTCATCACTGGTGACCGAAGCCGCTAGCTAGTGGCTTTCATAGGTGTCCAGGTTATGTCCAGTCACAGCCGTAACATTCAGAGACAGCCATGCTCACACTTACCCAGTTGCAATTGCTCATGCAGTCATCAAGATCTGACATTGTTCCACTCTGGAATAAGCCAGTCCTGCTTTTCGTACCGACACGCTTTGTGCTAATTCAGTCAGTGACTGTCAACCAATTTTTTTTAATTTGCCTGGCACCCAGAAAAAATTTTGTGCATGGGTTACCTGGGAAATTAGCCAGTGGTTGACAAGATTGTCAAATAGTAGCTGGCTGCTGATATGTGCACATTCAGATGAAAATTAGGCAGTGTCCAAAAGTTACAGCTATGACTTGAAAGGACACATACATCAATTGAAGCCATTAGCCAGCAGCTGCAGCCACTTTCCAAAGGTGCGTGTGTTACTCCTAGCCACAGCCACTTTATTCAGACGTGGCCAAAGTTCTGTATGTCCTGCACCATTTCTGCATATGTACCAACACCATCACAGCTGTTCTTACCCAGGGCCCCCAAGATGGGTCGTGTCCAAATGAATTGACTATGGCTGGAAAATAATACATTAGCCAATAGGAAAAAGGGGAGAATCAATATCCAGCTTGATCCATAGAGGCAAGTGTTGTTTCTAGCTACTGTGAAGTAATTCAGATGTGGCTTTTCTCACCATTTGAATTCAATGAGACTATCTAACCAGGTTTTTTTTTGGGGGGGGTGTCCCAACAGAAAAACTTGAGGCAAGGTATTCAGGAGATCAATAATCCAAACAGGCACCTGTTTTATTTTAAAATTAGGGCATTTTTCCTCAATAATAGTCTGTTGCTTTTGTACAGATTCTGAGGCCCTTTGTGACGCGGGTTGAAGCTTCACTGGATGTAGCATTATTCCATGTAGTGCTGATGCTCAAGGTACCAGACAACATTATCAGACAAAAAAGGAAGAATGTTGAGAAGTTTATGCACATCTCTGAACTTCACAGAGGCAATCTGAAGCAGTTGTATCTTCCTTTCTGTAGTCATTTGGCCTGCCAGGTTTTTATTTTGAAATTAGTAGCCTTTGAAAAATGAAACTGAAGGTTACATTAAAAAAGAATTAGTCTAAGAGCACGTTTACTTCAGGACCATAGGTAGCCATATTTTGACAGACTCTCATCAAACGTGTGCTATTTGACAATAGTTGAACTTGTGTAGTTTACTGCTGCGGGCCATCCTTTGGATGTTGGTTAAATCTGTGTTACTGATAGTGTCTTGGGTCAAAGTACACGGCAGGATGATTGGACCGTGAGTTGATGTTTGACAGGTTTATTTTCTTCTCTTCGTCACATCAGCTGAGGTTCGGCAGAGAACTCATGACCGATGCTGAAGAGGAATTGCTCCTGGACAGGCTAGTCTCCTGCTCCAGTCACCCTTGCCTGATGCCAGGGCACAGACTGCTCTGCTATCAGTGGCTCCTCAACTTCCCTGAAAACAAGGTAGCATGGAGGAAAAGACCCAAACCGTTGTAACTGAATACTTATGAATGCATTGGCAAATAAGACATAGCGAACCATCAATATCAGATTGATGAAAAGGTAAAACGAAAAACAGTTTGGAGTTTCTTCGGAGAATACATCCCAGTCTTTACAATAGCATTTTATATTTCTTACCTGCCTGATAACATAGACGAAGGTCGTATTCATCCGCGTTCATTTTAATGATATTTCCTCACATGATTTCAAGAGGCTGCCTCTCTCTGGATGATTTCTGTTGTAGGTTTCTGTTTCCGATTCGGAGAGTCATTTACCTGCTGCCCTGGACTACAGCAAGACTGCATCCTTGTACCCAGGGGTATTTGATGGTTTGGATACCACTCTCATTAAACTCAACCTGCTGAGTCTCTGCTTCACTCCAAGCCATGTTCAAGGTTAGTAACCCCAATACTTGGGAGTGCTGTTCACGTTGGAATAGTCTGGGAACCTGACCTCATACCATGGATGTTTGTGAGGACAGGTAATGTCCTCAAAGCTTTTGAAAAGGTATATGTAGACCTGAGACTGGACCTCGCTATGTAAAAGTATATGATGACAGGCAGTGTCCGAAAAATATCTGAAATTGTATTGGTTGCCATGTACCTCGCTAATTCCAGCTTTCTGGCTGTCTGTGTGTCCTGTTTTCCAAGAATGCATCGGGGTACTTTGTGACTATCAAATAAATTTACCGAAATTGGAGGCCATTAGGGCAACATCTCATTGGTTAGTCTCATACCCTACACCTCAGTCAAAGATGCTGAGGATGTCCTCAAACTAAAGGCTGGGTCATATTTGGTGCAGAAATTTCCAGTAGTTTAGGATTACACATCGTGTTCTGCCAATTTCAAGAGGGCTGTTACTCATGGTGTTTGCTACATAGGCCATTAAAGGTTTAGTTCTGATTGGTGCTGCCACGATTTGTATCTCATTGACAGATTCGGCTTCAACCACGTTAATGGGTTGCTTAGTACCGCTACAGAAGTCCATTCATTATGGAATCACTGGCCGCCCCGCTGTCACGCTCTACCGAGCGCTTTATTTGTACTACCGGCGACACTGCGACACTGTCCTGAGAGAGGAGATCTACAAGTAAGCACCAGAGATGTCATATTGCACAAGCACACACAGTAGACCCGTCTGTGCTTGAGTTCCCCCTTCGCTGTTGAGGAATAAAGATACTGGGGTGATGCTTGAATGCCACTAGCACCGTGTGCCCAATAGCCACACAAATACGCTACAGACTTGCAAAGTGAAGTTCCTAACAAGTTCCGTTGCTAGGAAAATTGTGCCATCCCTTGGCCCAGCTCGAGGCCGATTACTGTCCAGAGTTGGAATGTGAAAATCTTCAAAAACTGCCAGTAAACTTGGCACTCGGGAGGAACTCACTTACAACCTTGGTACCTGGTGTAAAAATCTCTCTCCTTCACACAAAGTGCCCATTGAATGCTACAGGGCTATACTCAGTCCACTTACAGCCGTGAAAAGAATGAATTGGATGTTACTAGGAAGAGCCAAATCTCGGCTGTCATTCCCATGATTTGAAATCAGTTTTGGAGTATACTGTATAATTTGTGGTTTGTGATATGTTAGCCCATGTACAGTACTTTCTCTTTTGGCATCTTGTTCACGACATAAACAGTGGAGAAAAGATTGTTAATTGGAGAATGATATATGAAAGATGCTCTTTGTAAACTTAAAAACGACTTCTTTGAAACGTTCCTCTTTCTGTCCTTACACATTGCCGGAGAAGAAATAAATGACTCTATTCAAGATGTTTTGGTATAACACTTTTCCCTAAAAATATTGTTTTGGTTGGGGAAAGTTGTATCACAGGACATTATGTATGGTGGCATTACTTTCAAGCATTTGCCATTTGTCCTTAATGGGCCTCGGAGTAATTGTGCTATTTATCTCACTTTGCAGGCTGATTGTAACCATAGTGACGGAGCAACCAAAGTTTGTGCCCCACACCATCAATTTCATTGAGTGCATCAACAGAATCGACACCAACGAGTAAAACTATAATGATGTTTACATTTGGCTTATGTTCTCGCCTGTCTGTTTTTATTCTCAACATTAGAAAAGACTCGTTGATTTGCACTTGACTCACTCATGTTGCTATGGTGATCTGATTGGTATCTTATATTGCAGCTCTTTCCCTACGGAGTTGCTTCAGTCTTCCATGGAGAATATTGTGTCCACTCCTCCCTCAGACGTCATAGAGGATTTGGAGTATCATCTTCTCCTACTTGAGAAAGTCTGTGAGGAGAAGAGCATTCCACCAAAGGTTTGCGTTAGGAAGTGTAACAAATAAGACATAGAATGTGAAAGGAATTCTAAACCTTTTGGTTTGAAGACATGAAGTCACAGGTGGTTTGTGGGAAATGCGCTGTTGTATAAGTGTCTGAGCTTAAGGTGTTCATGTGTTGCTGGAAAAGAAAATGCAAAACTTAAACAACTTTGTCACTGCTCATGTAGAGGGGTGTATTGTTCGCGGCTGCATTGTTGGTTTTCAGTTTAGAGGTGGCAGAATTGTGGATTCGGAGTCGGATGTTACAACCAGGGATTTCTTTCAGTATTTCTCTTTCCCGCAGCCTGTGGTGGTGTTCCTCCATCAACTTCTCAATTCCACATCCATCGCAGCCAGTGGCAGCTGGTTGCTAGGCAACTGCATCCTATCCGTTTGCCACAGCATTATGCAGCATCATGATACGACAGACATCTTCAAAGGTCTCAATTTACTGCAGACAAAGTACCTCATCAACTGCATGCCTTGTAGGATAAAACGTGTGCTTGCAAAGTTGTATTGAACGTTGATACTTTGGCGCTTGTCTCCAGGGTCTGCAAATATGAGCTGGGCCAAAACCGAGACCATTTTACTCCGAAAAAGTAGATTGTGCTCTCCAGTTGTTCCAAAATTGTTTACAGAAACAGTGTGAAAAGTGAGAGAGGAGCTCATTATGACCGCGTGATTTAGAAGAAAGTCACCCCGGAGCAGTTTGGAACGTTGAGTCAAAACAACATTGGACATTCTGGGGTATTGGTCATAATGTTCTGAAATGGGGACTCCTTTTTATCAACAATCCTGAGTTTCCTAGCTTCATTTTGAAAACTATTTTGTTTTCAGAGTCTGGCCAGTTGCTGTTTGAGTTGCTGACAAGCTACGGTGACCTGGACATCAGAGACAGAGCGCGGTTCTACTATGCAATGCTCACCAACATTTCGAGCCAAAAGGTTACAAAACAGTGAAAGAGGATACAGATATTTTTAGAGCCATCCACGGCAGACCAGTGAAAAAGTATACAGTCTCAGACCTGACCATGACAAACCAATAAGAAATTGTACAGTTTTCTTCATACCAATGAAAAGTGTAATTCTCTGCAGAACTGTCCATGGACTAGGGGAAGCTACATGTATAAGGCACGTAAATGATAAACCCTAAATGCTGGCCAGTGATTGCCAGGAACGTCCCTGAATCTTCAAAAAAAATCTAAACAGGTGACTCTAAACCGCTAACAATTTTTTTTGGCCTTCAAACCCCATGTACATGAGGAGTGTCAGAAATCTCAGGTGTCCCCAATTAATGCAAATCCGTAGATGGGAATCCTACATTTGCAAACATTGCCAGCGTCGATGACTTATTTCCTGTTTAAGATGGCTAAGCTGTTACCAGGGTCTGCTGAATTTTTACAGATTAGCAGGGTTAGCTCACCAATGTGCAAAGTTAGGAGGTCCCTCTGCTTTCTTCCTTTGTCTTTTTAGATTTCAAGTATCCTGTCATCTGCTGGCACTACTCACAGCTTGACCAGGCTGGTGACTGGCAGCTCCAATTTCGACATTCCACCTCCCGTACAGAAGCTCAGCGAGCCTGTTCTTTGTCTAACTAGGTATGTTCCAATATTGTAGCCAAGTCTTGGCAAGATATTTCAGGTCAGGCACAAGTCACTCGGTCTGAGGTCATGTCGTAAGTTGCTTGCGTGAGCTGTTCATCCACTGGAACTGGCGGCTAGACTTTTTAATTTGACTTGTGATGGAGTCGTTGACTAGACTCATCTGGTATGTTCAAAGCAAGATGCCTACAACGTCACGAGGCACAACGTTCTAGATTTCCTCTGTGAGTCATGTCCAATAGGTCTATGCTCTGAAGACACACTTTGCTAAGGTGTGCTTTCTTATGGGAGTCAGCTAGGCATGAAGGATTCATGAAGGATTGGCAATCACATATTTCAGAGCAATGATTTGATATTATATTCTTGTTGATATTCTGATCACGGTGCTACGCCGCGGCAGCCCTTCCGTATTTCTATGAAGGATTCAGAGTTCCCCAGGAAGGTGTACATGTAAATTGAGCATGAAATTGTGAGTGCCTAGGATTAGTATCTCGCACTATAACTGCTTGGGGAATAAAGTTGCTAAACAAGATTGCGTTGCAAGAAAACCAGACGAACATTTCATGGCACTGCTTCTCTTGATGAGCTAAACATTTTCGCTAACATGAATCCAAAAAGTTGTGTCCGCTTTTGTCACTTCATTTGAGGAATGTGTTGCACAAAAGAAAATCACTAAATATGGGTGTGTCATGCAGTGACTGACTTGCCTCATGAAACAGAACTCATTCGAAAGCATGACAAACTCAAAGCGATGCCTTGTTACAGTCATTTGAAAATTTCTTCTATCTTAATCCTGCATTTCCTCCAGGATTCAGAGAAGACCAAAGTGCTCGACGTTTGCCTATTCTACTTGTGGACAGTATCTGCAGGAGCTCCAGTCATATAGCCAGCCACCTGCCGTTCATATGGACTACTACCTGCATTATGTAGGTACAAGCTTCCCGCTCGAACGAGACATGGCGTGTTTTTGTAACCCAGCATTGATATCCTTTGGCTGGGACTCTCTGCATGCGTACCCGGGTTCTTGCAGGCTTGGTATGAGAGTTGCCCCGAGCAAGTGAGACCGGTTTCTGTTGGAATGCACCGCTATAGTGTGAGCGGCTGGTGCCCATTTAATACCCTTGGTACCAGGCACAATCGAACAGTAGCTGACAAATGGTCAACTTGCCTAGAGTGCAGAGACTTGTTCTGTTGAACCCTGATGTGCATTTTTTGACAATGAAAGATTTGATAGGGGAAGTAATGAGAAGAATTGAACTGAGCGACTAAAAAGTGAAGTTTTGAGAGTCAGCTCAGGACAGGTGCATATACATTTATGTTTTCCAGACCGATGCAGACGTGACACCGTCCATGGACAAACTGTACACGCTGGTTCTACACGTTGACGTCCCAAAGAGCTACAGAGAGATACCAGGTAAGGGGGGGGGGTTAACCTTGGAGTTTGATGCTTCAGAAGGCACTTAGTGATTAGGGTTGAAAGTCACCCATTCTCTCAGAAGTAGACGGGAAAAGAAAGCAAAGAGAGGGGGGAAAGACAGTTTTCAAAAGTACGATTTTCATGCACAAATTGACCAGAACAGATGAAGAATGCGCTCCAACGGTCTAAGTACATTCACTTGTATGATCTGCAATGAATGCCATGCTAAGTGCGACGTGATGTAAGGGGCACCGACAACGGTGGTGGAACACCTGAAGCAAAGTTTGGTGGTCTAGCGGTAAGTATTGTCTTATCACAAAAGAAATCAGCATGCGAAGTCCTTGCTTGCACCAATTTGTGATCAGACTTTGTGAAAACGTACGGGCAGACAAGAAAATTGTGGAAAACGCCGGAAACATATTGCAATGGCCTCTCGGTGTTTGTGAGAACTCTGATGACTGGTGATGTTTCGCTGCAGATGTAGCTCTGTCTTGCCTTGTCTTGGAGGAATCTCGACAGCCATCAGACACCTGCCAGGTCATCTCCTTACCGATTCAACCCCTGGAACCTGTGCCGTCAAAACTCCCCGTCAGGTTAGTACTTAACTGTGGCTTGAACCATTAGCTAGAACATGTGTCGGCAACATTCCCTGCGGGGTTAGTACTTCATCTCAGAATGAAGTACTATAACCTGGGTCACTGGAAATCCTGTCAGTCTAGCACTTAAGATCATTACAGGCAGGCTTTGTTTTTGTAGGTCATCTGCATATCTTTCAGTGTTATTTTCATGTCATTTTTGTCCGTTTTGTCTAGAGTAATGATATGTTGGCCATTTCAGTGCTTTGAGATGAAATGAAGAAAAAGCAGATTCAAACATTAGGACCTTTACTAAGTACTAACCCTGTCGGGTAAGTACTTATCACAGAATCAACTACCAGTACCTGTGCAATTGAAAGTCTCTGTTAGAATAGAACTCCAGTACAGAATCAACCACAACAGAATCTTTTCCTAAAAGAAATTCCCCAGCAGACTGGTGCTCCAGAATGATATGTCACAATTAATTCATTCGATATTTGCCCAAAGAATACATGTAACTGACGAGCAAAATGCAATGTCTGACAAATCAAGCCCTGAATTTTGTCATATTTAGACATTCAGATTGTGGTGACAAAATTTGGTACTTTCTGTTTGTTTTACCTTCTCCCTGTCTAGTGTGGTGTTCATGACGGCTGATGGCCAAACATCCACTGGTAGTCTCTCTCCAGTCCACATTCAGTTCTCAGACCTCTACTTGCCCATGCCAGTCAGCTCATCTGACAGACCAGGATTATTTGACGCTTTGTGGAAACACATACAAAACCACAGGTATTTGAATCACGGCTCTCAAATATATCTACGAGAACATTAATTATTTGTGTAAATTACATCAGGATACTACAAAAGTACTACGTCTCCTGAAGACGGACAGAGTACACTGTTCGAAACGTCGAGGTATTCCCCGGTATCTTCTCAGAACCACACATACTCAAAGAAGAGATAAATACATGGTGTTACCGCAATCTTTACTATAGATCTAGGATACTACAAGGCAGAAAAATTCCTTAAAGGAAATGTTAGTTTCGAGTTTGAAAATCAATTCAATCAAATAAGAACTGAAAAATTGGTTGGACTCGAGGAGCAGGGCAGAGGCATTCATACTGCGTTGTGTTCACTGTTCATGTGAATTTGGGAGCTCACTTGATGGGTGTCAGGGGCATAGTGGAGTTTTGCATCGTGCTGACTCTTATTTGGCTGGTTTCCTGTCTTCCCGTGCACTCTAGATTTTAAAAGAAATTGGGTGGGGGACCAGTTTATGAGGCTATTTGGCCACCTCCCTTAGATGCATGTATGCTGTCTTTAACACCTAGTGCTCGTGACAGCAGTAGTGGAGCTTACAATAGGCTAAGTTTAGTCAGCGGTCATTTGCCCACCACTGGTCAATTTTTACATGGTAACTTGTATGTCAAGCTAACCAAGGAGAACCTATCAGTAGTTAATAAATGGTCACTGACTGAACTGGGTTGCCAATTTGTTGTGTTTTTTGTTTTTTTCTCATCATTTGATATTTACATTCTAACAATGTTCTACAGACAGACAAAGCCATATCATCACAAATCTATTCAAAGCCCTACTTTTCATCATCCATTGGTGTGTGTTTTCCATTAGTAGCGGCATGTGCGCTGAATCAGTCTGTACCTTGCTGCTGAGCAAGGCAGCCATGTTGGGAGTGATTCAGGATCAACTACAAGACTACAGAATTAACCATGATGCAAAAGGTAAACAGTCATCTAGGTTCAGTGTTGCATTTCATTTCAGCCACTGTTTTCAACAAGTTTGAAACAGGCACTGTTGAACCTGCCAATTAATTTTGTTGATATCGTTAATTGGGAACTTACTAACCGTACTTGAATTTGGTATTTGTTACAAAACATGTTAATTACTTTCATAAAATCAATGTCATTTCCTTCATTCTTCCAGTACAGATCCCTGAAAAAGTGTTTTCTTTGAAAAGAATTTTGTTTTAAAGTTTTCTGCAAATTTGAAAAAACTAGATTTCCCATATTATTGGAAAAAATTCCAAAAAGAAATTTTTTAATGGGCCTCCAAAATGTATTTCCCTTTCCTTGAGTCATAGCCTATACTCTCAGTGCATTCAGTGAAGACGCACAGATGAAAAAATGGGGGGGGGAGAACAAGAAAAGGAAAGAAAAATGAGGAAAGGGGAATTCCCTGTTTGCTGAAAAATATCTCAGAATTGACGTCCTTCCACAGTTAAAGGTTTTCCAATTTGTTCTGATAAGTGCTCCCCCCCCCCAGCTGGTGGAAAAATCCTTGTGATGCCCATGTGCACACCTGCCTGGTACGAGCAGAGGGATATGTAGGAAATGAGGTAGAGTCTCAGATTTGCTAAGTGATGTCACTATACCAGGAATACGGGAGACTAGACAGTGTCAAAAAGACGTGAATTTTTGGTATCAATTGTTTCCCGGCAGAGGATGTTGCAAGGATAGGCATCTTTCTCCCTCCGTCCTGGCATGTGCTGCTCAAAGTTACCACCAAGCAGGACATGGCAGTGGTTGCCATAGCGACGGACAACTGGAAAGTCTTGCCGCTGGTCGACTCGTTCTTGCATCAGTTAGAGGAGAGTTGTGCCAGATGAGGAACGGAGCTCAGTGAACTGACTGAACTGATCATGAACAGCATCACACAAGTTTTTTCTAAAACATCCGCCAATCAATTTCTTACAGATCTGGCGTTCAAATCAGCACTGAAGCAGCGTCTTTGCTCTGAAATGATACTTGCATGAGGGCGTAAGCTCATCATGAAGGAACCATTGTAGGTTTAAGTCAGAGACACGTACCTGAAGTCGTTGTTGATGTTGAGCATGTGCTAAGCAGTCTGGTGGCACTTGTCGCTGTTGGACAGCTCTGTAGAAAACGATATATGATGGATGGAAGTTATCAACTGCATACATTGAAACACCTCATGTGATCTGGCTATCCCTAATTGGCCGGTTATTGTATTTCTCAAGTCATTCCAAATTCTGGTGGAACATATGAATTCAGTAGACCTGTGGAATGCTATCAAATCGCATTCTCTCTAACCCGTGCAAAATATGCCCCTGGCAACGAAACGATCCATCAAGCACCGTTGCTGCCCTGCCTTCATTAATTGCCTACAGAAAGGTGCTACAGCTTGTACACATTCAGATGAAAGTAAGTGGCGTAAACTTTGCTCCATACGCGTGCCAACCAGTCTGTGCACACAATTTGTCCTTCATTGGCTGTCTCAAGACTCGTTACTGTTTTTTTACTGGTCCAATGCACAGACCTCCCTGTTTTTGTGCACAAGCGTGGCGTACATAGTGGGGACCTCCACACAAAGAAGTCCGCATAATGTAGGGTTGCAAGACACTGTGTGGACTGCCACACATTCACACAGTGGTTCCCCTCTCCGAAAAAAAAGCTTCAGGGGCATTTTGGGGTCAGGGTGTTCTGCGACAGAATAAAGAGGAACAGTCCAGGAAATCATGAACAAAAATCCAGCTTGAAGGAGTAAGAACGGGAGAAAAAGGAGCAGTTCGCCTGATTTTTCTTAACCAAAGAGCAAAGGAATGTCCACCTTAGGTATGTAAAACAAGCACGAGGGAGTGTGTTTTCTTTTGTTTTGTTTTTTTTCAGGCTCGATTCTAGCTACATCCCTCTTATTTGTGTATGGTCATCAGAGTAGACAAGGACCTTGACTACAATACCGTGCTCTTGGTATTGCTCTGGTCACAGTCGTTTATTTAAAAAAGATAGAACTATGCAATCCTGGTCAAATCTGGTAATACGAAGGGCTGTTTAAGTACGGAAACAACTTCACTTTAGTTTCTTTGAATGTGGGCAGTTGTCTCAGTGAGTTACGGAGGGGATTATCACAACCACTTCAGTCTTAATATACTTCATTATGTGCACTCCAAGAAGATACTGAGGAATGAACCGACCTGTTTTCGTGTTGTTTGAAAAAATCCAGAAATGTTCTGTGACATTGAAGATGCAGCTGTCCATGCAACACAGTCTTGGTTAAAAGCAGCGATTCTAAGAGCTGTCAAGAATTGACGAATGTAAAGAGTAGAACAGAAATGCCTACAACTTGTTCAAATATCTTTTTGTTGTTGTTGTTGTTGTTTGTTTTTCCATAACATTCTTTTGTATAAGTTATCCCAAGCATTGATATGAAATTCGATCAATTACGGTCCACACAACTGAAGGTGCTTGTTAAAGTATAGTCTTAACTCGAAATTCACATGTAAATCATTGAAAATTATCTTATCTTTGAAGGAAATGTTAATCAAATTACAAAGTTATCTTCATAAAATATCTGCGGTGATTGCTTTGTGTGAATGTTTGTTTTTACCCATGTACACACTGTTTCTAAAGACGCTTGCACATGTATGTACAAGTTCATTAACGTGCCCGTTTATTTAAGGAACCCGAAGCTGGCATTTTGATGGGAATACACTTAATACTTGTCGATTACAAGGAAAAATCGTGCCCGGCAATCATGCGCTCTTGCCAGAAACTGAAATTCATGTTAGAATCCTGAAAATTATTTAGGCCTACATGTTTTGATACGTAGTGGAAGCGATCAAAGTATCGTCGTTAAGTGCCAGCGTTCCAAGGGGATCGACCGCAGTTGACCTGCGATGAGGGGCTCTGTGTCATGATATTCGCTGGCGCTTGATGTATCGTCCCTTTTAATATACGTCAGATAAGATATATCTGTTGATGCTCAGATAATCCGTTGTGGCTTGGCCATTTTCCCGTCTGTCTGAAAGCATAGAGCCTGAAATTACTCCGGGCGCAAAACCAGCCGAGAGAATTACACCCCGAGAGAGATGTTTGTAAATGGAGTTGTTTACTTCATACGCTGCGGGAGTTACATTTTGTGGCTATCCAGGAGGGAAGTTTGCCTTGGTGAATTTTGTCTTCTTTTCATACAGCCACCGATTTGAAAGTACTGGCGACTCACAACGGTACGGGCAAACAACCCTGATCTTCGCTTATACGGACAAAAAAAACACTTTTAATAAAAACAGAAAATTTTCCTGGACTCAACATAATAACCACTTAGCAATGCAATTCCTTGCTTAGTCCTTGTGCTGAGAACGACAGCAATGTATACGAGCTACTTACGCTCACTTAGTAATATTTGAAGGAGAATTTAAGGTTAATTATTTTGTTTTCATTAGCTGTCAGAAAATACGTGCGTCGGCAAAGCGGTGAGAGTGGTGGGGAGGTGCGGTGGGTTCGAAAAACCCCGCCCCCCATTCTTGACGACTCCCAGCCCAAATCTAGTTTCGAAGTCCTCTCCCCTTTGCGTATAAGTCTCACGCCTCCCTCTAAAACCGACTCTTGCCTCATCGGACCCCGGAGAAATGTGTCCTTCATTTCTCTTCTCTTGTCTCGGGCCGCGTGACCCCTCAGACTTTCAGATCCGCCAATCTGTTTAGATCATCAGATGTCCGGATTGTACATGGCTAGATGGTTTCTGTACAGCAGCTGTACGTTCATCCCTATTCCACTGACCCTCATCTCATGATGCGCTGCCTCGGCTCCGTCACCATGGTGACACATAAGACTTTTCCAGTGAGCTTCATATACGCACGCGCACCCTCTCTAGCGTGGGAGTTCAGTTTTTGCACAAGGCCATTTACGGCAATTGTAGGCAGGTGGTTTGCTCCAAAGCACGTTCTCACAAAATAACCCCGTGCCAGGGATGCAGGGACGTATTGTTCTTGCCTGTTTGGTAAACAGCGGCTAATTTGTAAAAGCAAAATTCGTGATAAAAATTGCCTCCCCTGTTTCAATACGCGATTCAAACTCCCGGTCGATTCCCTCAATCAGAATTTATACTCTGCACATTTTAGTTGGCTATAGAGGGTTTGCATGGCTGCCATCTTGCAGGCCAATATTTTGTTCCATAGAGTACGCACAAAGGAAGCTTCCCTGTGGAACAAAAGAACTGCCCTGCAATTAGATGGCTACCTCGCAAAGCCTCTCAGTCTAATGATGTTTCCAACCAATCCTTTCGATTTCATTTGTGGAGTTTTTGAAGTTCATTCAGTTCATTCCGTTTTGTCGAAGCATACAAGTAATATCAAACATTGACTGAAACCCCAACTTCATTTTTCGCTCAAGTTGGCATGTAATTTAAACCTGACGTACCTGTACATGTGACGTGCAAACGCGAAAAGGAGCAGCAAGAAACGGGGAGATGTCTCTTATTAAGTGAGCTTTTAACATAAAAACTACATGTTTCTAAACCTACTTCTGTTTCTATCCCTATAAGCATGCATAAAAATGGTTTATAAGAAAATCTACGCAATTACTTTCAAAATCTACATGGTAATCTAGTTAGGATGTCTTCAATCCACATCCGCCCTAATTCTCGAAAACGTATTTACGAGTTATGCTATACCAAGGGACCGACGATGTGCCCCGGCACGGTTAAGCAGCCGTGATGTACGTCACCGATTTCATGAATGATACAACGAATTCAGGAAATCATGGTATCTTCACCAACAGCTGTGGACCGGATTTCCCCCAAACCTGCGTTACGTAGTCTGCCGGTTTGGCATATATAATACCTTCGTGGAGGTGAGAAATTTCGCTGAACTCCGTGTGTGGTGGATTTCCTGGCACATTTTCTACTACCTGTAACAGTGAGGCATTGTGTTTCAGTGTGCGGGACCTCCGCACCCTACGGGTAGCCATGGAGCTATTAAACACGGGGTAGCGAAGGGGGGTCAACGTTTTGGTCCACCACGCAGACATACTTGTCTGACAGATGTTCGGGGCAGATAGGCCCACCATCTGTATGATTTGCGGGAGTCAACTTTCAGGAAAACCTGTTCAGGATTCTTGAAAGGAAAGACCTTGGATGAATTCCTTTTTCAAAGAACAATTTACAGGATGCACCGGTGTTGCTGTCCCGTTTCAGACTAAAGAGTAATCATGTTTGGGGATTCGACAGAGGCCCTACAAGTTTACATCATGTACATGATGTTTGAACCATGAGAAAAGTACCTGTGATTAACAGTATATAGAACAGCTTCTTTTATGATGATTCCCAGTCATGAACTCCCTCTCTCGATAAACTCTACTCTTGATCTGATACAACCCTTCACGTGGTATATCCTTTTACCAGACTCTTCTTTAATACTTTCTGCTTGGTGTTCAGCCCTGTGGATGATAGTCAGTCACACGAATGACAAGACCATCAACATTTAAAACACAGAACTTAGCGGCTCATCCAGCTTTTGATGTGAGGGGGTTCAAAAGCGAATGCGCCTTCGGTCTTATTCAACATGATGTTGCTTTTTGGGGAGTGAAGTGGGAAAAAGTCCGTGTGGGGGGGGGGCACTTGCCCCTCCTCCCCCCCCGCCCGCCGAATACGTCACACTGCAGCACAGAACCTTTCTCAGGGAGGGGAACAGGACAATATCTTTACTAACGTACTCCTGCTTTCACTTATTGTCCACTAGACCTGATTTGCAGCTCAGAAAGTCTTCTCTCGAGTTGCGTTTCGCTTTTGAATTTACTTGGAATCAAAGTTGTTTTCATTTGTTTTCCTTTTAACTATCCGAAAACTGACCCGGTTCAACCGGACACTTTCGGGTGAGGTAGGTTTTGTTTTCGAGCTCTTGACATAGAAAACTTTTTTGTTTGTTGGTTCCTTGAATTTTGAGGGCACTGCAAATAGCGCCCTCATGCAGGATACACTCCCGGATCACTATTCACAGGTTCATTTTTTGTTAGGTCCATGGTCACATTTTGCAGGATGGGGCGCGGTGCCACTATCCCCGGGCCCGCCCAGATTGTTTGGGTCAGCGATTGGACTTCCTATAGCTATACCATGTAAGTGCGCTCGAAAAGGAAGCCTCGCCCGTTGAGCTGCGTCACCGTACTTCACCTAGCGAATTGTCACGACGCATTGTTTAATATGTTACGAAGCTTGTTATCAGCGGGAAAGTCCCACAGAAGGCCACCGCTGCGGGAAGATCCGGGACACGGTGGGTCCGCAGTGCACTCGATTCCCCGAGTCATCCCGTCCGGTTTAGTTTCCTGGTATCAGTGGCACTGCAAACGAAATTGTCCATTTTTGGCATGGTCCCATGTAGTTTGCGTGCTATTCAAATAGACAATCGGGTTTCAGTGCCTGGGAATTAAATATCGTGTCACGGACTACGAATGCAGAGACAGTTTTTTCCCGGTAATTTCCCGGATTCGCCAAAAGTACCAAAAACCCTGTCAGCCCTCAAACTACGGAGGGCCTGGAGGGATCACAGAGCAAGGAAACATATGGAGGCATGATGTACACTTAATAATAAAAGACTTTACCCTAACTTACCGATTGTTTTACGAATCAAATAGTAAAACACTATTCTTGCACTCTCTAGTTGTTATGCATTTATGAAAGAAGATCCATATATTGCCAGGTAACAGCAAACTCTTACATATGGACAAATTTCCAGTGAAAGTTGTTTCAAATTTCGGTTTGTTTCCTTTCTCGAGTAAAGGTAAATATCACAAACGCCATTTGCGAGCAACGCCCGGCGAATTTCCATAGGGCTGGGAACGGTTGAGAAATCCCACCTCAGGTGGTACCGGTGCGTATATGCTTCGTCTTTGTGATGCTAATTCTCCGATAGCCTGGTTGCGTAGTGACCGTGAGAAATATTTCGCTGGCGAGAGTCCAAAGACCGTTGAAAAACGTAAACAAACGGTGTATGGACGACGGTTGCCGTCGATCGATGCTAGGAGACGCGGGAAAACCAAGACAGTCTACGAACCAAAACATTACCGTTGCGTTCGATGTCAACAAAGTACCAACGTCATGTAACTCGCCGGAACTGCTTTACGACATTGGCTCAGTGTACCGTCGTAGGAAAATACGAAATTTTGAAAACCGTTTCGAAATGAAAGCAATTATTAAACACAAACAAGTCTACCTGTTACTTTATTGCAGTAATTAAAATTACCAAATTTTTCGCACACTATTTTTTTTCGACACTTAAATTTTAAAAGACCATGGGCCTATTGCTTTAAACGAAATGACGGAAAAGAATTTTGATCGAGATTTAAAAACTACAAAGTGCAAGTTTATCATTTCTTATCGGCGCAATATTTCTGACTTATACAAAGACGAGGTTAGTTTGTGATGAAAAGAAGGATATTTATATTAGTTTTCATTTGCATTTTTAAAAAATCTTCATGACATAGAATTTAAGATGTTTCTCTTATTTCATGGCGCTGCATAGGAATTATTTGAAAATTCACAATGAGAAAAGCCATGGACCGACAAGTCATGAAGACGAGCGTTGAACAATGCCGTTTTTTTGTCTTAAAATATTTTTTTTTGTTAACAAGATTCAGAACCATGGATACACGGCCAGCACCGTGACGAGTCTGCATAGACTCTGAAGGACTTCGTCTTCTGATGAACAGGTCAAACGATAAATGGGAGTAGCCAGGGTAACTTGATTTTTTTCCTGTGGGAAAGTTCATGCAGTACACAAACTTGGCCCCGTGCAGCGCCAGCGACGGCCCGGTACCCCAGGGCGTTGCTTTGTTTGCATTTCAGGGTGCAGACGGAGGTCAGTGCAAGGGCACACTATTCCCGCATTCCTCGTATCCAGCCTGCCATTACTTTTAAGCATTGTTACTACATGTATGTGGCCTCCTGGTGCGCTCGAGCGCGGGAATCTGTGCCATGCACTTTGTCCAGGGTGCCTTGTGCTAGACGTCATTCGTGTCTTTCCTTACTGCCCACTCAGGCCTCTTTGAGTGAACGTTATTGAAACTGTGCCTTGACTTGAGGCTAAAGCCTCAAGGTAAACTGACCCAGAAAGCTGGCACCCGGGAAGGGGGGGGGGTGTTGCACGCTTGAGGTCTACAGTTTCCCGCAACTTGTGGTCACATGCTTCGAGGTATGGTAACATAACTGAAAGAAGAAAAGGGCAACACAACAGAGATTACAAAAGGCCCAAGAATGTAATTGGAGCCTAAAAAAATAAGAAAAATAAAAACAAAATAAAGCAACATGATTGACTTTTATTTTTTAGGGCGTTTTTACCAACGCTGATTTTTCTTAGCCATATATTTTGTTTTGCCTGATCGATCGATCACGGCATTGCGCTGTCATTGTATTGTGAGATTTTAAAAAAATTATGGATCATTATTAGACATGACGAGAGAAACTGCAATTACAGAGGACAATTCAAAAAAGTTCCATTAAAAGTTGGGTTCTGGAAAACTGTCCAAATTTTCCATGTTTACTTTTCCATTGCAAGATCCGAGGGTGCCAACTCAACCTGCGTCATGGTGTATTACACACGGCGCGTAAATTTCTTGGTTTCTATTGGTTGGTTGTGAAATGACGAAGCACCAACTGCAGTGACTGTGCCGTACCGCGGCGCGCCCGGCTAGAACATTAACATTTTCGTGCGTCTATCTATGAGGATATTCCATCCGCCACAATTTTATAGTGCGCATTTAGATTTCATAATTTCTGCTCGAAGAAATTTTCAAAATTACTTCTAATATGTAAGGTATTTCTAAAAAGTAAAGTTTATTTAAAGCAAGGGAAAAAAGTGAAATTTCAACCTCTTTTTTAAAGTCAACTCAATTCCATTGACCTTTTACGCACGTAAGTACGAGGCCTTCACTGCGCGGATTGATATGGGCGGTTGCTAGAGTGCGTCATGACACGAGTTGATTACGAAAACAAAATACACGAACGAACGTAAAAACGCCGGTACAAGCGAGTAACCGCCAGATGAACTCAGGCTGTTTGGGTGAAAACCTGCGGAGCTGAACACACGTATTCGGTGTCTTTCTGGTGTTTCTGTTGTAAAGGATCACCATCTAAGCATGAATTTCTCGCGAAAACTAACCAGTCAGTTTGCTATGAACATGAAAAACATGGGGCGAAACAGCTGTGATCGCAACGGTAAGATTTTGTGCTCAACGTTAGGCTAGTTTTTAACAATTGCACATGAAACAATTTTTCTGTCCACATCAACTGGTTTCTTCTCTCAGATTTATGTCTGGATTTACTATTTTCCCCACAGGCAAGGAAAAAGAATCCTTCGAGAAGACCTATGCAATCGGACAGCTGCTTGGAAGTGGAGGATTTGGAACTGTGTACGCCGGAACCAGAGTCCGAGATAATTTGCCGGTAAGTTGAGCAAGTGTACGTTAATATCATACATTCATGACATTCCTGCAACTTAACCGGCTTTTTACTCTCTTCACTATTTCGGGCATGAAAATTGAACCAATCCCTAATTTCCATGTTCTTGGTTCTTTGCAGGTCGCAATTAAGCTTGTGACGAAGGAAAAAGTCAACGATTGGAGTCAGGTGAGTTAGAAAGATACGAATGGTGGCGATTTCTCGGTGTTTTGATCACAAAGAATCCGTTACCGGCATTATGTTCATGTCCTGTACACACAACGTGTACGCTGTGCGTGTTGTGATAGCTGGCTCGGTGCCAAGCTTATGCAGGGTGTAAGAAAAGCTGTCTCGCCGGCCGGCCAGCTGGGAGTACCGGTTGCTGTCATTCGGTGCGCTAGTTCAGAAGTTAACCTCTCCCGTGTTAATTAAATTTCGCAGAACTGAAATTATATTTGGTGTGGGGGGGGGGAAGGGAGTGAGAAATCACCGGCCTTTGTTTCTTTTCGACGGTAATGCTACTGCACAGGTGCCGACCCACGCCGCATGGTCACGGCATTGTGTTATACGAACAATAGAAAACACGTGGCGCGGTGCGCGGGCGATGTACCCTCCACACTTCACTGTCTGGCTGAGCATTCCAAGCATGGATTGGATGATGCCCTGAGCCTAGGCCGGTGTACGCTTGTCTTTTACCCTTCTCTGTCATGTCTGTCTCGGTGATATAACTTGAATTAAAAAATAATGCAACCTAACTGTACTATTGTCATTTTTTGTTCCTTTTACAGATTAATGGCCAGAAGGTACCACTCGAAGTCCATCTTCTGAAGAAAGTTGCCCACATACGGGGGTGCATCAAAATGTTGGATTTCTACGACCGAGCAGACAATTTTATTATAGTCATGGAGCGCCCCGAGCCTGCAAAGGACTTGTTCGATTTCATCACGGAGCGAGGGCCCCTCGATGAGGAACTCTGTCGCAAATTCTTCCGTCAGATCGTCGAGACAACACGGTGCTGCCACGAAGCTGGTGTGCTACACCGAGACCTCAAGGATGAGAACATTCTGGTCGACATGAAGTCGGGCGATCTGAAGCTGATTGACTTTGGGTCGGGCGCCATTCTCCGAGACACCGTCTACAAAGATTTTGATGGTGAGTTGGCTTGTAGTCATTGCAATGAAGGAATTGGCCTGGAAGTGTAGATGGTGCAGAGTGAAAGGTTTTGGATGCTTTGTGTAGTTGTGATTCATACCCTCACATGTATGGGTGATTGGTCATGACAATTACAATAGTATTTCTATTAGTTTGTAGTAATGAATGCCCACTCACTCGAGGTGTACATACGGATTAATAAATGGCAGATGCCCGGCAGTTTAATATTCAGTGGTGGGCGTTTTATTGGCGAAACCCACCCACTCAATCATGTTCAAGTTACCGAGTTCATGTAAATCGTAATGAAATACTGTGACTTGTTGTTGTGCTATTTCCATGTTATGCCAAGCATATGGCAACTTGGTAAAGTTGATTGGACTTGAATCTGATTTTGAAAAATAATTGGTTTTGTAGGTACCCGTGTCTACAGTCCACCAGAGTGGATTCGTTCCCACCGTTACCATGGTCGGCCCGCTGCTGTTTGGTCCCTGGGCATCTTGTTGTTCGACATGGCATGTGGTGACATACCCTTTGAGCAGGACGATGAAATCTGTCGAGCCGAACTCATCTTCAAGGATGGGCTCTCGCAGTCCCTGAAGCACCTGATCTGCTCCATGCTGCGGGTCAAGCCCATGCACAGACTGAATTTGGATGAGATACTGGACCACCCATGGATGAAGAAGGGACAGTGCGAGGGCGGCAAACAACTGATGAAGTGCACGCAGTCGGCAGGGAGTGAGGAAAGCATAAACCGGTCACCCCTGAGCAGTGCCAGCTCCAGTGAGGAGGACCTCATCAGACAGTCCAGTGGTTCGCCGACCAGTGACATGCAGTGCACAGACTCCTGTCCGCAAGATTTGTCTTGCCGCCCCATCTACCTGGAGGTTGAATGCTGACCAAGGGTCCACCCACAAAGCAAACTGGATATGCTGGCCAATCCGTAAATGTTAAAGACTCGCAAATATGTGGATTCTTGGGACAATCACTGTGGTCATTTTTGTTTTTTGGTGGTTAATCTACACAAAGTGCAATACTTTTTTAAGTTAAGTCACAGCCTGGAACTCGAAGTCGGATATTCATCACCAGCAGTGCATTGAGGTATTCACCAGACTTAAAGTGTTCCAGTAGACCAAATGAGTGCAACAACCACTGTGCCTTCCATTGTCAAAACCAAACAAAACAAGTCTGGTTGACGTGGCTTTCGTCTAACCATTACCTCAATGTGCTGGGTGTGAAGTGCCGGCTGGGAGATTACGGGCAAATGTGTCGTGAAGAAATTCTGTATTCAATGCAAGCTGGCAGCAATATGTTAAGTGGGCGTTTTGGTTGTCGCTTGTGCCAGACAGGCCCTCCTTGGCAGAACTTCCTCAGACTTGGCATAAACATCCTGCTAACCTGATGAAGCAATTTCCTGGATTTCTAGAAATCGTGGATCCATTGTAACATTATACCATATATGCTGTCCGGCCAAAATATATTGGTGCTGCCGTTTCACTGTTGCAAAAACGAAAATCTGTTACCGGTGTTTTAGTGAAATGGTGTTTATTAGGATATGTTAATTTATTGATCTTAGCTCCTAGTTCTGCACAGTTCATGTGGTGTTGTATTTTTTCCTTCTCTAATATTTAAATTCCAAATTCATTCAAGTTCATTGATTAATATGTCCTGTTTGGTGCGGTTCGATTTTAAACTGAATTGTAAAGCTAAGCACCCAAGACATTGCTCAGCAAAACCTCCAGGTATGGGTGTGTGCAGGTGTTTCAATTGTTAGAGGCGTTTTAATTCAGTTTAATCAGACTTCTCTAGCGTGGTTTCCTTTTATTTGAGCTTGGTTGAATTTGGAAAGTCTATTTTTATTTATTTATCTGTCACTGTCACGCTCAATTGTTTTTAAGCCCCATGGGACTAGATCTTAAATGTTAACTTATTGTCAGGTTATACCTCACTGTATGTTTTAATTATTTTGTAAATAACAGAGTGTATATTTTTTTATATTAATGCAATAAATTCATGTTGCCAGTGTGGCGAAGAGGATAATTTATGCTTTTGGGTGAAATACACGTTCTTGGTAGTGTTGTTCAGTTGTTGCACATAATGTACCTCTGATCAAATTACGAAAGAAATTTCTTGCATAAAGTAGACATTCAAAGACACGTCGCCCACCATCGAAGTTTGCCAAAAAAACTAGCATTCTTTGTCAGTGAGAACTCGCCCGAAACAAAGACTCTCACATCCCCTCCTCCACAAAGAGCCCCCTTCTAACTCCATTCCATGACTCACAACGCCTCGGATCTACACTAAGAGAGAAGCACCTCTTTGTTCCCTAATACCTTGCCACACCATCTTGGGATAAAGGCGGGCCAGAAACCGCAAATTCCAGCCATAGCTGAGCCCGTACACTGACCTTTTCCAGACAACTAACAGGGCAAAGGCAGGCGCGGTCGGGATTAAGCGGTTACATAATCACATGAATCGCTGTGCCGCTGACCAGATGTATCTATTTGGTTATTCAAATTTGGTGCGTATTATGCAAATGATCTACGTTATTTGCTCAATTAAGCTCGCTTGTTAGCTACCATAAACACGTGCATTAAAATCCATGATGATCTGTGCAATCCTTACCCTTATTCTCGAGAGGTCAGTTTCTCATTGTTCAACTTCAAGAGCAATTCTCGTATCGTCTGTCCGCTATTATGTTGGATCTTCCCAAACAAAATACAGAAGTTTTTCTGCCCTGCCAACAATTAACTCCCCCCCCCCGCGTAGAACTGAGACCGAGGGGTACCCACCCAATCCGTCAAGTCGCTAAACACACTCTAGATTGTTGTTACCTAACAAATCCTCCCTAGATGTCTGAAAAGAATTCCTCAGATTCCAGTGAGACAATGACCAAAACGGGGGGGTCTCTCCGTCTCATATCTTGCTTCATTATGTCCACGTATTATGTACATGAGCGGCCCCCGTACTTGTATTATTTTAAAATAATTTGCTTGTCTCCTGTACAGCCTAACTCGACAAGGCGTAGTGTTAACGAGAGTGGCTCGGTCTGGGCTGCGTGTCAGAAAACACATCCATTCTTTTTCTTGTCAAAGTTCGCAGACAGGTATTCCTCTGCGTGTAACCTGAATCTGGGACAAAGGTAGTGTGGCGGGCCCACGGTATCAGGGTCGTGCGGCATTGTGCAAACCAGCACCGCCCTGCCACGACGCATTTTTTTGGCGCGCCACGTGTCTGTCTCATGCACACAGTATACAGTAGAGGGCAGAGTCTAATAACTTCAGGTACGGTTATGTAAAAACACAAATATTAACGAGACGATGCCACGTTGTTGGTTGCAATGCGCACGAATGTGGCACAACTGACCGAGCTGTTTCACTGCTGCAGTGCGTCTGCGCATTATGAAAGCTTCGATCACCATGGGGAAAAATGTGTCCAGCGACACTGTCTTCCAGGGTTAAAAGAGCAATATTTATGTTAGGGTTTGCTTGCGCCTTGTCGGAAACGCGCTCTACTCGGAGAAGCGTGCACCTTGAAAGTTTCTACGGTACCGTATGGATGGGTAAACATGCAAAACATCGTCACAAAAGTATTCGCCCCAGACCCTGATTGTGTACAGTTCTAGCAGTGTACGACGAGTGTGTATGTACAGACATGCACATGTAGATGCATCAAATGCCAGGCATGAGGAAAAAATGGGGCCAAAGTTGATCATCACAAAAGTTGATCATCACAAGTTCACAGTCTACAGCAGTAACACGATGACAGAAATATGATTTAATAAATTGATGAGGACAGTATTATCTTGTCATTGCCGAGATATTTCGGACAAGAGTACTTGTGTAATTTTAGTCATCAGATCACCCCATGTATGCAGTGGGCGTGATATGCGTGTAGGAAGGGTGTAGCATTAAATTGTTAAGGGTGGTGCCCGATAAATATGCAATATGACACGAATTGTATGTGAGCCGATTCTTCTGAACGCACCACGTATGGCTAAATACAGAATTATTATCTGGTGGGAGAGCTTCCTGACCTTTTACTTTACAAACCATTTCAGACTGCTCGTTGTTTTGGGCGCACTTTTTTCATAGTTTCTTTTCGTTCGAGTGATTGTGACAAAAATAAACACACCTGTCTTCCCTTTGATGCAGCCAATGTATTTAACACACCTCGGAACTCAATACTCTTAAAATGCTCACCAATTAAAAAAAAAGAAGGGAAGTTGAGGGGCCGGGAAAACTGATTAAAAACACTCCACCCCATTACCACTACACCATTAACGGCTGAAAACGTCCACCACCAGTACAAGACAACCTTTAGGATTTGCCTTTAATACAAACAATCCATTTTCTCCGTACTGACACTTTATTTCACTACATTGTATTGAGAAATTACCGAGACACAAACATACAAAACTTGCTATAATCTTTCTAGGTACGAAGTGGCACAGCTTAGGAAAATGTATTTAAGTATCCATCAACTAGCATAAAAATTGGGGAATCCTGTTAAATAAAAGAAAAAACTGTAAATTTCTAACTGGGGCTTGACAAGTTTGCTTTGAATCTAGCAGCAGGGCAATCCTTGTATGATAAAACTGATGAAAACTCCAAACAGTGAGCCTGGGTTATCACACACAAAGACATCTATGCCCGAGGAAGGACTACAAATTAATTAAAACATCATGCAAACTAGTAATTTCAGGCAAGTCACGGCTGGAAAGAGATCTGCTTTTAACTGGCCAGTACACGTTGCACAGAAAATCCACAGCTTAACTGATGTCTGCCAGGCAGACAGTATATGCATGTACATGTGTATATGGTTTAATATATGCAGACGCAGAATGCAATTCCAGACACCTAGCTGTGAAGTGATCGCGGGGAACCTGGCCAGGTCAACTCAAGCTGTATTTAAAGGGAGAAGGCTGCTTGAGCTCGCCCGGCCGAATGACCTCGCATCCCTTCTGGGAGCAACGGACCGAGGAGAGTCAGTAGCAGGTCATGGTCACCCTCCCCCTATGAAAGCTTCACGGAGCAAAGGAATAAAAGCATTCTTGCCATAATCATGTGAGGCCTAAATGTGTCCTTTCTCCATGATTTAAACAAAACTAGGAAGGAATAGGGAATTCGCTAAACCCATTATAACAAACTACACACACCTTGCAGTAATTTTGCACCTGTGCATTTCACTAATTTGGGAAATACGGCTGAAGTGTAAGCACCTAGCAGATGTTTGTAAGGGGCACCCCAAAAACTTCAGAGCTCTTGACTGAATAACCAATTTTTTTTCTTCGAGTTTTGAGACATTAAAACTACACTTTATGTCGATTGACACAAAAACATGTGCCAAGTTCAGAACACAAAAGATTGATAATAAAAGATTTTAAAATCTCAACATGTAAACAAATGAAAATTATAAAAAAAAACTGAATATGAACATAAATTCAATTAAACTCTACGATGAATAAAATGTTGCAAAATGACGAGGCACGTAACACAGAGAGCTAATGCATGTACCTAACATTCATGTAGTGTGCTCTTCAGTCCTTCAATGATAAGACATACAACCTGCACATTTAATCAACTCTCGACCCCAATCCAATCCATCAAAATACAAATACAAATGTTTGTGTCTGCAGCCTCACATGCTGTGGTTAGATAGCAACACAGTCCGGGTCCCATCCAAGCCCACACGCGACTATAAAGAAAACAGAAAACGGAAGAAAACAAAAATATTAAATGAAACGAAACAAAATGAAAGATTCAAACATCGTCGACTTGGACAGGGATTATGACAAAGACTATCTACACTACAGTTGATTTTCAGAGTAGATGTTTTATTACATGTTTCTAAGAAGCAATACTGTGAAAAGTTAACTCAAAGCTGGCAACAATTCGCAAAGAGTACCAAAATCTAGATATTTCTGATATGAAGCGGGAAAAGTTGGTTTGCAGGTTGGATAAATTAATATTTCTGCAAAAGGTTATCTTTAAAGTCCATTCACTGAGCAAGTGCGCCTGCAGGGAAAAAAAGCCAACAACACGCATGGGAGAAGGCGCTGGCAGCCAAAACTGCAACCCCCTTTAAGATGGGAGTTCAGTTTAAGGTCAGCGTGTGCACTTTTACCTGGGCAGACAGTTACGGGCCGGCCTGGGACCCATGCTGCATGAGAGTGTTGGGCCCAAGCGCAGTGTTCATGTTCTTTTCATTACAGCTCCAGAGCAGGGACTTGGATTCAAGTGAAATTGCAGCCTGCAGGTAAAGTCAGGCTCTCCTCTAGAATTTCCATAAGTTCTGCTGGGGCCGAGTGCCGCACACAGACAGTCGCCCTGAGCTGCACGAGGGAGGGAAAACCAAAAAAAAAAAAAACCTTGTGTGTGTGTCTATGTTGCTGGGAGCATTGAAAAGTCTCCACGGGGTACCAACTTGGAATATTTTTGGAGCACTTTGTCCCGGCGAGTTCAAAAGTGCATCAGACAGGGTGCAGCTATGCTCTAAAAAGAATGTTTTTTCCCCCTACATTAAAAGTATCTATTTAAAAGGCATGGGGACTCAATACCCTATGTTCAACCCCGCTGCACTGTGTAAAAACACAAGGTAAGACTGAGCCAATCTGAATATTGTTGCACATCTCAGGGATCAAACAAATGGACCAAAACATCGCAACCAGCAACAACAACAAAGCATCACGGACTGGACTCTGTTCACAGTTGTTCCACAAAGCTGTGACCTGCAATCACTCGAACAAATACAGTGCTAGGTTTAGAAGGGGATTTTTCTTTTGGCGACAGTGAAAACACATTTATGACCCCCAAATGTCAACAACAGCCCCAAAATGAGTGACTTTCTCTGGCCGCTACAGAATGCTGCGCTGTACAGGTGCCGCTGCCAACAACTCCTTTGTTTGGTCGGTAATGAAAGTATCTTTGCCTGAGAACAAAAAATCGGCTGTGTAATATTTGACCTTATTTGGCCCCCTGGCTGTAGCCACCACACGACAACAAAGGCAGAGCTGAGCAGACACATGTCAGTCTCCAGTTTTAGTACACCCGCTACTTGTGGTATGGCAAGTGCACCAGAATTCCCATTCCCAACGTACTGAGGAACCAGTTGGGCCACTTTCTATTAATAACGCTGGGTAAATAAATACATGCCCCGGCCCTGAAAACACACGATGACGAAAGCCTGGAGAGGCCAAGCTGGGTCAAGTTAAGTCTGGAGATTCTGTTTTGCGGAAAGTCCTTTGTCTCTGCACATAGAGTAAAGAAAGGTAATGGCATAGCTGGCGACACAGAGTGAAGGCATTTGTTAATTACAGGCGTATCAATGATAACTAGGTTAAACTAGGTGTAGAGTTTTACTTGTGACTGACACACATACTGCACCCGACCCAAAGTTGATCACAATTTACAGATTCTTTGATACATTTTTGACACGGGTGCAGACCGTGACAAAAAATCTTGGCATCCTGAGACTAGAAAAAGAAAAGAAAAAAGTGACACTTGATTCCTGAGTAGTTCCTTACAATGTATCTGATACGAGCTTTTTATGGCAGCTGGATTTTTTCAAAACCTTGGCAGGTAGTCTGAACAAAGCCACACAAACTTACAAAGCCTGCCTCAAGCATGGTTAGGACAACATTGAAAAGTGGCAACTTCAGCACTGTATTTTCCTATTCTGGAGGCACCTGACCAGTAAAAATCAACCAAAAGGTAGCACGGCTCACAGGCCAGTTCATCGGTCTTAACAGCTTACAGGGGTCCCACCCCGCACAGAAACAAGGCACACAATTGTACTTTTGTGTTACTGTGGTCCAGGCAAAACCCAAAGGTCTTTGTGTACTATGCTGGGCAGAAGAATACACCACCACTGTTGTCTAGGCTATTACTTGTTTGTCCTAAAGTTTGGGAACCAACCTTGGTATGCATTGGGTAGGCACTGAGTTTGTCCCCAAAGTTTTTTTCACAGCAAGGACACTGGTCGAGCACAGGGGAACAATGCCTTGCAGTGTACTGTGTACCCTCTACCAACAAAGTCACTTTTAACAGGAGGCAGCCAGGGAGAAAAAAGAGGGGTTACGGGGCCACTAAATCCCACATGCAGCAAAGTACGAGACGGAGAGAACCCCC